AGTAAGAATGGGTTATTGTGTGTTATGATTTTTAAAACAATGTTAAATAAAATGCATATCAGATGTCAGGAGTGCAACACAATAATATAACATAGGGTCACTTCAAAATCTAGTATTTTTTGTAAGAGAACTCGTATATAACAATTCTTTTTTGGCCTAGATTTAAAGAATTGACTTGAACGGACAAAAAAGTGAACTTGGGGAATTTTATTGCTTCATATTTTTTTCATATTAAAACTTTTCAAACCAGAATTGAAAAAATAATGTAAAATAACAATCAAAAAGCCAATTTTTTGTCACACGTACAAGAGAAGATACTCATTCAAGGTCTAGATTTAATCATTTATACCCCTTTTACCATTTTGAAACATAAAAAACTATAATTTCTTGTGATTATGTATTTTAGAAAGTCTTTCAAGGTGTAATGATATTTTCTTTTTTCAAAAGAAATTTTACTAATAAAAATTCTGAAACTTTTTAATCCAATTGTCTATTCCATTGCCACTTCAGGATTTTAAACTAGAATGCATTTGCAATATGATGGTATAAGTGAAAAATATGTTATAAATAGTTGAATTTTGCCAAAAAAAATTCAGTTTGGTGGTCATTTTTTTTGAATTCACCCATTTCTGCTTTAATTTTTTTTATGTTCCTCAAGTCGAATCTGAATAAAACTTACCAAAGTCGTCTATATCTGGTTTCAAAAACATAGAATTCATACATATCTTTGCATCTGAATTAATTATAAAACTTTACCAATTTTCTACACAGGTTTACAACTTTTACTTCGATTCATTAAAGCTCCAAAGCAAAGAACAAAATTGAACTTAAATGATCAACCAAAAGAATAGAATTATAAATGAGGCATTTCTCTAGATAAAAAAAATCTGCAAGGACTGCAGAATGAATTCAATATAAAAAATTTTTTGACTCTATTCATTATAATGAAATTTGACCCTTGTTCCTGGATCCGCTCTGATTACGCATGCACCCAAACAAAGCTTCTCCTCTTACGTCTGCAGTATACAGTCGTTTCCATACAGAACCATTGGGTTGATGTTTAGTAGGTGAATTTAATAAAAGAATTAATTTAGAATCATGTTGCCTCTATACCCAGAGACATCACCAAACCTTTACAGAAAGATCTTTTTTCTGTTATGTGTAATTTCAGATACATAAGGTAATTAGGACATGAAAATTTCTTTCTTCTTATGTTGGTAAATATTTTAGGTTGTTCGCACGAAATATTATCTCGTTCGTCCCATATTTGTCTCGTTCGTACGACTCACTCTTTCGTTCGAATCACTTATTATGTCGATTGCACAACTTATCTTGTTTGCACGACATAATATTTCGTTCGCACGACTAATTACATGTATCTCGACGCACGACATTATATCTAGTGTGCACGAAATAATGTCTCGTTTGCACGAATTATTGTCATTCGCACGAATTATAATTCGTTTGCAAAAATAATTTTCTGTACATTGCTTCCTTGTTGTTATGTGAGTGTCCTAAACTGACCAAAGTATAGGGTATTGATTTCCGTATATAGATGAGGATAAGGGAAATTTGCATCATATAAATATATTACTGTTGTATTTACGCGAAGAATTAAAGATTTTTTTCAAAGCAAATCATTATAAAGTGATAGAAATAAACTTCACCTTTGTAATTTAAAGAAAAAGATGGGTATTGAACGATCTTAGATGTCTTCCATTTTTCTTCGGGAAGACATTAGCATGACATTTTATCGTGAACATACTTTTGAGACAGGTAGTGGCGAAAAATAAAGAACATATGAAACCTGAATTGATATTTGATATCGCTGTTTTAACAATAGAAATGTATTCATCATGGTGCCTGTATTTGAACATTTCATGATTGATGCTAAAAGTTATATGTGTATCAATAATTTTAGGAAGCATTTACCTTACCGTGAATGATATGCAGATCTTAAATGCGTCACAAAACACTATGAGAAATAAGGTACTAATAATTTGTTAAGGATAAATAACACAAACAAACTTTCTTCAGAAATCAGCAATAATCCTCATAGATTTATATTCAAATAAGTAACCTGAATGATATTTACCAGGTAAAGGGGAGAAACTTTGTAAGATTTTGTCGTAATGTTAAAAATATGTGCAAAAATTTGTATAGAATTATATAGAAAACAAAACAAAGTCGCATATTTAAGCGCCAAAGAAAACTTACGATTTCTTTATATTTTGGGATTTATTATTTATGTCATTTCTATTCAAAATCAGTCAAAAAATATATATCCATCCAGGCATCAAATGTTTTTTGTGTTATGTATCCTTAAATATTGATCACAAAGATCAAAGTAAAAAAGAATAGAAGAAGAAAATTATAAGTGACCCATCAGTCACGTGAGCTGAAATATGATTGGTGTATGCTCATTTTACCATATCTGCGTTGTTATCCAAAGAAAAGTATACTTTGAAAAATATATTTTAAGTCTATAATACGAAAGTTTTACCTAATTAATGATGCTTAATTAAAAGGTAGTTTAAAATGTGAATTCCTTTCAGCAAGCTCGGTAGAAAACGTGACACTAATTTCTTTAGCGAAAATATAGCTGTTCTTGCATGGGTATTCAGTGGGGAACCCTTTTGTCTTTTTTCTGTGAGTTATCATAACCAAAAAGTTATTAGAATCGTCCAGACAGTAATTCAGAGGTTAATACTCCTCCATCCGGTCATCTTATGCGAGAATATTAGCAACATATGTCAGCTTCGTCAGATGACGTGCTTTTGTGTTCACATGATCAATCGGCCTGACTTCTATTTTGAAATATTGAATATATTTTCTTGCCATCATTTGCAAATTGTTTGGAATGCGATTTTTAGCTCACCTCGACGAAGTCGAGATGAGCTTATGCTATACCCCCGGTGTCGGCGTCGGCGTCGGTGTCGGCGTCGGCGTTAGCGTCGGCGTCCCAGGTTAAAGTTTTAGGAGCAAGTCCCATTCCCAAGTAACTATAAGCCCTACCTGGACCAAACTTGCATGGATGATGCATCTAGGGATGGACACTACCAAACTTGCTTCGGATGCTGGATCTGACCTAGATTTTCCAGATGAGTGACCAGGTTAAAGTTTTAGGAGCAGGTCCATTCCTTAGTAACTATAAGCCCTACCTGGATCAAACTTGCATTGATGATGCATCTAGGGATGGACACTACCACACTTGCTTCGGATGCTGGATCTGACCTAGATTTTCCGGATGTGTGACCAGGTTAAAGTTTTAGGAGCAGGTCCATTCCCAAGTAACTATAAGCCCTACCTTGACCAAACTTGCATGGATGATGCATCTAGGGATGGACACTACTAAACTTGCTTCGGATGCTGGATCTGATCTATATTTTCCAGATGAGTGACCAGGTTAAAGTTTTAGGAGCAGGTCCATTCCCAAGTAACTATAAGCCCTACCTTGACCAAACTTGCATGGATGATGCATCTACCACACTACCACACTTGCTTCGGATGCTGGATCTGACCTAGATTTTCCAGATGAGTGACCAGGTTAAAGTTTTAGGAGCAGGTCCATTCCTTAGTAACTATAAGCCCTACCTGGACCAAACTTGCATGGATGATGCATCTAGGGATGGACACTACCAAACTTGCTTCGGATGCTGGATCTGACCTATATTTTCCAGATGAGTGACCAGGTTAAAGTTTTAGGAGCAGGTCCATTCCCAAGTAACTATAAGCCCTACCTTGACCAAACTTGCATGGATGATGCATCTAGGGATGGACATGGCCACACTTACTTCGGATGCTGGATCTGACCTAGATTTTCCAGATGAGTGACCAGGTTAAAGTTTTAGGAGCAGGTCCATTCCCAAGTAACTATAAGCCCTACCTTGACCAAACTTGCATGGATGATGCATCTAGGGATGGAAACTACCAAACTTGCTTCGGATGCTGGATCTGACCTATATTTTCCAGATGAGTGACCAGGTTAAAGTTTTAGGAGCAGGTCCATTCCCAAGTTACTATAAACCCTACCCGGACCAAACTTGCATGGATGATGCATCCAGGGATGGACACTACCACACTTGTTCAGATGCTGGATCTGATCTAGATTTTCCACATGTGAGACCAGGTTTTGATTTAGGAGTAGTCTCATTCCCAAGTAACTATAAGCCCTACCTGGACCAAACTTTCATGGATGATGCATCTAGGAATGTACACTAACCAACCTGCTTCGAATGCTGGATCTGACCTAGATTTTCCACATGAGTGAATTTTAGCCATATTTTAACCAAATTAGCATGGATGATGTATCTAGGGATGGACACTTCCAGACTTGCCTTGGATTCTGAATCTGATGTACATTTTCCAGAAGAGTGACCAGGGTAATTTTTTTGGAGTAGCTATATAATACTATGGCTTGTTATGATTAAACTTGCATAGATGGTGCATCTAAGGATGAAAACTCCCAGACTTGCTTTGGATGTTGGAACTGACCAAAATTTTCTTGATTACTAAACAGGTCAAAAGTTTTTTGAGCAGGTCTATAATTAAATCAAACTTGCATGGATATTGATCTTGGGATGTACCCTAACTAGAAAAAAAATATGATGTGAAATTTGCCTTACATGTAGATAACATTCGTCGAGGTGAGCTTCGTAATCTTTGATTACCTATGTTTATATTTGTGTACAAATTAAACACCAGACAATCTTTCAATTGTTTCTAGAATTCAATTTTGAAAGTAAGAAAATCGGCGGGAATTTGCATCCAGTTGGTGCACATATGTGAAATCATCTTGTTTCTATTCACAATTAAACTGGATTATTAAATAACAATTGGGATCGACAATTCTCAGCAGAATAAGAACAGAATATGAATTATAATTATACCACAAATAAAGACCCAAGTTTTCTGTCTTACTTTTATAATGCAGAGTTGGTGGGACGATAAATATTCTATAAGAAATTCTATTTCACAAAAGGTATATGTATTTTTTCCAGGTGCTTTCCTCATTCCTTACTTCCTTTTGGTGATCATTGGGGGTGTGCCGCTGTTTTATTTAGAAGTGGCAGTTGGTCAGTTTATGGGATTGTCAGGTTTCAGAGCTTGGGCCATTTGTCCTCTTTTCCAAGGTAAAGTAATAATTTTACATTTTCCTTTGAAATTTGCTCAAAATGTAGGTGCCAATATAACCGTTACAATTCTTTATAAATAGGGGTATATAGCAATAATTGATTTTTTTTGTATGTGTATATCTTATGTGTAAAGGTTACTTGTCATTTAAGATTTTTTTTTAATCTTTATATCTGATGTTGTTGTTAGGTTGGGAATTGAATGTTGGCTATCAGTAGTAATGGTGTCCGTTTTGCAAGCAGATGTTTTTCAGATTCTCTTTACATGATATCTATTCTGTTTTCAGGGATCGGGATATCGTCCACCATTGTCGTCTTTTTCCTGAATTGTTATTACAATATCATCTTGTGCTGGTCTTTCTACTATATGTTTAGTTCCTTTGCTCTGGAACTTCCGTGGACGAAGTGTGGAAAATGGTGGAACACGGAGAACTGCTACGACTTCTCTGAATCCAAGAGTGAATTTGTCACTAATGTCACCGGGAGAGAATTCTTCAAAGATCTCGTCTGCAGCAATCAAACACGTACATACATTGCTATATACAACAACAGTGGAAACATTTATAACGAAACCTTTGTTAACCAATCCTGTGTACCGAAACACTTGCGTCTGGATGCTGTACAAGAATTCTGGGAGTAAGTGTTAGAAGTGCAAAGGTTTTATTAGAAGTTCCAGTTTTTTTTCCCCACAAGCACAAATTTGAGTCTATTCGAGGACTGGAATAATTTTACACTTTTCTTCTCTACTGAGTGATTTTCAATCAAATTCTGAAGATTTTTTTTTCGATAAAAAAGAAGACTTAATACTTACACAAAGTTCACATTTCCTTCCAAGGGATAGTGATTAAAAAAATTAGTGGGATATTTTCAAATCTGTAGGATAGACTATAAAACGAGGAAGGTTTTTTTAAATGAAGAAATTCAAGTTGTTAACCATGCCCTGAGCAAAATTCAACATCGAATGTTGCACTTGCTCGATATGAAACTCAATAACAGCTTAGTCATATTATTAAATATTTTTAAAGTATTATTCTAAACTTTTTTAAATTGATTTATTGATTTTGATATCATTTCAAGTTTATTTTATTATTTAATTTATTTTATTTCTTATTTAATTTTTATAACAGGTCTTAAAATCATTATTCTGTATAATTTTATTTCTTTAATTTGATTATAAAAATTTTATCTTTTATAAATAAATTCTCTTTCTTTAAAGGTAAGTATCCCTTACAGTTATACCCAGCTCTATTTTCAGTTTTTACTAAAATTAAACTTATTTTCAATATTTTCCAAGGAACAAAGTACTGAATATTTCTGACGGAATCGAACCAGAGAACATGGGAGAGATCAAGTGGGATTTGGCCTTGACCTTGCTGTTCGCCTGGGTTGTTGTCTATTGTTGTATATGTAAAGGCATTAAATCATCTGGAAAGGTAAATTGGTTGAACAACATCATTTAAACTAATGGCTAAATCAAATTGGTTAAATGATGGTGTTTTTAATATGGAGATGTAAATTTATAATTATGGTATTTTATTATGATATATCTGATGATGTAATTTAATAATGGAATTGTCAAAAAAGTGTAAACACAGTCTTGATAGTATATCGGACAGTAAATATTTCATTCATGAAAAATTTGCTTAGGGGAAAATCTGATTTTATCATTAAGATGACCATGGAAAAAAATCCAATGCATGAACATACGATTATACTCATATATTTTTACATATACGTGTATTTTATAACTTGAAAGTAAGGCCATAAACATTTTTATTTTAGGAACAAATTCCAAGATAATTAACCAAACAGTCATTTGGGTTGTGACAATTTCATATAAATTAAATTTTTTTCCCCCATTTTACCAATTTTTAGTTGTCTGTTTAAAGTGTAGATGTACATTTCTGTTATAACTTGAATTTGTTTTACCAGACCCAAGTCTGCGTTACCTTTTAATCGCACCCGGCAATATGCACGTTTTATTTATGAAAATTCTATAAATATGATTGTCAAATCTGAATTCTGATGAGATAATGACAAAAATCTTCTTGTGATGGACATGCATTGAAATGTTAATTTAAACATATTTTTATTGAATAAATCAATAAAGATCGGGAAACAGGCAAAGCCTATACATACCCTCTCCTTTAATGTTAATATATGGAGTGTGTTTTTGATCGAGTCTGAATATTACAGGTGATGTACATTACAGCTACGTCTCCGTATCTGTTTATGTTAGCTCTATTGATCAGGAACTGTTTACTGCCAGGTGCACGGGAAGGAATCCTATTTTATCTCACTCCAGATTGGTCCAGACTAAATGATTTGGAGGTACATATTTTGATTTTTTTTTTAAAGCCTAGTGAAATTTATTTTTTCCATCATTTTTAATTAGGTCATGTATGTAACAGCAACATCGCCATATTTGTTCATGGCTGCATTGCTTATCCGAAATTCGCTTCTTCCGGGGGCAAGAGAAGGTGTCATCTTCTATTTAAAGCCAGATCTTGCGAAATTGGCTGACCTTGAGGTAGAACCAGTTGTCTTGACGACGGTCAAACCATAGATCTTGGTGATATTTATTTTTGAAAATAACACACAAGCGTTAGTGCGTGCTAACCTGATTTTAAATACATAATATATATATCTTCTGCTTCTGCTTCTTTCACTTGATTTTTTTTTTTTTGGTAAATATCAAAAATTGCATTGTGGCGTAACATGAAAGGTATCACTGCCTTATAAAATAGAGATACATTTGAAAGCGTACAAATATATGGAAGGAAAAAAGGAACTGACAATTAATTAACATTAATTCCATAATATGCAACAACATGCTTTGCTTTTGAATTATGTATATTTCATAATAGCACAATAATTAACGTGTCAATCTCTGTAGAGAAAAAGGAGACAATCGAATAAATACATGTAAAACTATTGTTAAATTGTATCCGACTTTGTTTTTGTTTTTAATTTTGTTGACATTATTTATTCATTCATTTCTTTTTTTTTAATATTTTTTTTTTACGGACAGACACACGGACGCAGACAGACACTCAAGGGTAAAATAGTATACCCCCCTCTCCTTCCGAGGGGGGGGGATTATAATTACAATTTAATATCATTTTCCACTCTTTTTTATGTGGCTTAAGATAACACAATTATTTATTACCCCCTCCCCATTTATCGGGAGGGGGTAAAGTATTTTTAAAAGATGATTGTTTTTTTTTCTTTGGTGTATTTTTGGATTGTTTGCCTTGTATTTTATTAATTTCATATATTACATTTTTTCACAATTTTATTGCTTAATTTCTGATTTTTTACCGTGACAATATTTGATTTTATGACAAAGAATCAGTATGTGAATAGGAAATCTAACGATTTTATGTAAAATTTTCAGGTATGGGTGGATGCCGGTACGCAGATTTTCTTTTCCTATTCTATAGCCATCGGGGCTCTGACCGCTCTGGGAAGTTACAACACGTTCAACCATAATTCCTACAGGTAGTCTATTGCTTAAAAACATACAGTAGAAAATTTAGAATGCGAATTTATCACTACAAAAACTTAATATTGCAACATTCACTATAGTTAAAGTACACACAAGTGATACAGCTTAACTTCAATATCCCGAACTTTTGCTTTCAGAGATTGCATTATATTTGCCTGTGCAAACAGTGGTACAAGTTTCTTTGCTGGGTTTATCATTTTCACCATTCTGGGACACATGGCGGATGTGCAGGGCGTGGATATCGCAGATGTCGCTGCTGGGGGTAAACTTGTAATTACTGTTATAGCATACATAACAGTCATTCTAGAAAAAACTTGACCTTTAATACTTTAATTCACTGTTGCTTTTTACTGTTGTAACATCATTTTATAATTTGAAATATTGATTTAAAATCTAAGACTTAATATATTTACATGGTTTTGTAAAGCTAAAGTTCCGGCATGAACATAATAAATTTAAAAACTTTTTCCACCTCAAATATTAATGTCGCTTCACTCATTTACAACAAATTTCAAGACGAAATTTTCAGTTCCGAACTTATTGAGAGGAATATATATATATATTTAAATTCTATATTAAAAGAAAACAAACCACTTCTTCAAAAGAATTGCATCCATGGATCTTGTTTCTTAAGAAATCGCAGAAAATCAATTAACTTAGTCCGTAATGTTTTTGTCATAATTGCACACTGACAACAAACTGGAAATTACTTTAGAATAACCATAGGACCTAACAGTACGATCGATTCTAGTCTCGAGTCAGAGAAGACCATTACATTTACGATGTAGTAAACTGAATTAGACAAAAGTAGTTGTATCTCTTAAAGGAAAATCAGGAATTTTTTGCATTTAAGGTATAAAAAGTTGTATTGTTTTGAGGAGCGAAGCACTTAATACTTTTGATTACATATACTATCTTAAGGTTCATTGATACTCTGATAAGAAAGATAACTCTTAGTGACATAAATGTCTATCATTCCTTAATAAATTTGAAGAGTTGAAGTGTCTTTATTTGGTCCAGTTTTGCCCCGCAAGATATGCTATAACTGTTATTATTTAGTTTGTAAAACACATTTCTTCTGGAAAATCATTAGCGTTAAAGCAGCATTTTATATGAGTGAGCAGAGGGTTTATGAACCTTAAACTAACGTTACTTATATCTATTGCTTTTACCAGACTTCAGAAATCGTGCTATATTGTTCTATACTCAAACTCAGAAATCAAAAAATAGTTCAAATTCAGGTTAATAAAAAAAATAATTAATTGTTTAAAATCCTTAACTTCCGTAACATCGCCCAAAAACCATGGGTATATCAAAATTGATGTAAAAAGTTAACGAAACCAGGTTTTGTGGATAATTATATTTCTTTTCAAGTACACAATGATGTTTCCTTTAAAGAATTGTATTTAATTGGCTATTTGAAGCAAAAAAAGATATCTTCACCAATATCAATTAAAATAAAAAATACGATATGTCTTTTTATATAGGTCCTGGACTTGCATTCATAGCGTATCCTAAGGCAGTGTCCCTTATGCCTGGAGCTCCTGTTTGGTCCATTCTGTTTTTCTTAATGTTGATTCTTTTAGGACTGGACAGTCAGGTCAGTTTAACTCAGATCCTCAAATTTTAAATATAATTTTGACAGTGATATTGCTTTACTTGTAAGAAATATCATGAGCAATCTAACAGAGTATGTATTATTTCTTCTGTCTTCAGTTTGTGGGTGTAGAAGGTGTAATTTCTGCTGTTGTTGACCAATGGCCGAATTTGTTGCGCAGAGGCTACAGGAAAGAGATCTTTATCGGGATAGTCTGTATCTGCAATTTTTTCATAGGACTTTCCATGGTGTCGAGGGTGAGTGAATCTTATAATTCATTGTCTTTATTCCTACTACAGTTCTGTGCAAATAAGACGGCATGTAGTATTCACAATGATGTTGACATTTTGAACTGCAGGCAGATTGTATCCAAGAAGGGGGGGGGGGCTTTTTTTTCCAAGAATAGTCTATTTACAAAAATTAAATTTTCATTTAAAGGCCGGGGGGGGGGGGGGGGTCACTGTTGGCAATATTTTTTATTTTTTGGGGGGAGGAGGGGGCCGTTGTCAAAGTTTTTAATTAAGGCACTTTTTTCCCTAGCTACCCCACCCTCACCTCCATCCCACAACCAATTTGAAAAAGGTACGTCCCTGAGTTGTATCATCCTAAGCTTGCAAACTTACAGTCTTGGCTTAAGTAGTTAAAATTAATGATAAACTGATGATTAAAAACTCATCTCTTGAAAAAATAATTTTTTTTCCTATAACATCTGATATTTTATTGAAGGATCCGAAGTAATGTATACCAAAATTCTTAAATTTGACAAATACTGGGGAAAGGAGACAGAGAGGGGGTTGGGGGGGGGGGAGAGAGACAGGTAGGCAAAGAAAGGGGAAGGTGGAAAGACAGCAAAAAAGATGGTTAAGAGAGTGATAAAAAAGGAGGGATACTCTTATCTCCACCCTGCAAAAGAGAATTCACTTAGCACGTGTTGAACAATTTGTTTGTGCATGAACTTCATTACAGAATGAACTCCTAGAATGTCAACAACAAAAAATAATCATTCAATGTGCTGAACAATTCTAATATTAACAAATTTCTATATATATTGTATTTCTTTTGTAGGGCGGAATGTACGTATTTCAGCTGTTTGATTACTACTCCGGGAGTAAAATCATCCTCTTCATAGCTTTCTTTGAATGTATTGCCATTGCATGGGTTTATGGTAATTCGTCTTTTATTTCCATCTACTCCTCTTTGGCTTTGTCTTAACTTAAAGAGGATTGCTTGTTTTATTACATGTACAATATCATTACTTCTAAGGTATAAGACGTTTCTATGACAACCTTGAAATGATGCTGGGATTCCGTATCAATCCATACATGATGGTGGCATGGACAGTTCTTTCTCCAATCTTCTGCATGGTATGGAAAAATTATCAGAAATTAAATATGACAGTTTTAAAACGGACCATTTAATAATCAGAGGTACTTGTGGACAGACCCCCCCCCCCCCCCCGATTTTTCCTATGGTATACATTATAAGTGAAAATAGTATAATTTGTTTAAAAAAATAACCAGGAAGCTCTGGGGTTGAATATGGGAGGGGTGGGTGGGGGCATCTTTCCACAAGTGTCTGTGATAAAAAAAAATGTACAGATATACCAATATACATGACTATTCTCTCATATAACTGCCAAAAATATTTGATGTTGCTTATGTCTCAAATACTTCAAACTTAAACAAAAGCAGTATAAAAGGATGTATAATTAAATTATTGCAAATATGCATAATCTTTACTTTTCTGTTTGCAGTGTGTCTTTATTATGAGTGTGGTAAACTATTCGGAGTTAGATTACAAGAGACCTACTAAGCCTAAGTACTTTTTCCCGACCTGGGCTGTGGGAATAGGCTGGGGGATGGCGGCTTTCGCAGCCATGTGGATTCCAATAATGATAATTTATCGCTTTGTACGATTAGGATTCTCCCGAGAGGTGCAGTTTTAATGTTTCCTGATAAATTATAAGTCTTTCAAAGATTTCTATAACTTTCAATGTTATTCATTCACTCGTATAAGAAATAGTTAGCTCTTCTAAATGCCTCAACCCTTGGTTTTGTTTCAACAATGTCATTGTAAACTAGCAGACCTGTATGATTTATCTTGTTTTCTGATGCAAAATATTGTTACACTGTTGTTAATAATTTTACTTAACATTTATTTATAATATATTGTTTCTAATTATACAGACAGTAATGTACTTGATAAAACCCCAAGGACTCAAAGAACATCAACTACGTCCACAGGATGGTGGAGCGACGAGCATGACCACGGGTCCTGCTTCCAAATACAAAGCAGATGACAACCCTCCACCATACAACGAAAAAAGTGGCAATGCTAATCCAGCATTTCAATCCGATAGTGGATTCAATACAAAATTATAACTCAAAAGAACCTATTAATAATATGTATAGCATAATTGTATTTCTGTCCAAAACTTAATTGATATTTTGTCATTGAGATACATGGTTAAACTGGTGTTCAAAACAAATGGCTTGCTCACATTCGAGTCTTATATATATATTTTATTTTTGTACAAATTTTGTATATTTTATATTTTTAAGAAATTTTATATTTGTCCCTCATTCCAAATTCTCTGTGTATTAATCCTATCCTCCTAATTTTCTAGTTTGGCTATGAACAGATTCATCTTTTGTAACATCATCCATTATGTTGGATCTCTCAAGGATTTTAAACATTTAATTTATATGACATTTTGGTAACTGAGCAAGCTGAAATACATTCAATGATATGAATTCTTGTTTGGTGTTCAGTGGATTTTTTTTTTTATAGTTTTCTGAAGCACGCACTATAGATGAAGAAGTGTAAGGGTCATTTGTGATAAAAATAAAAGAGTCCCATATAATTTCTCAACATACTTATTTATAAAGAAGTAATCTCAAAGATCAATGAATCTTATTATTAGTTAATGTACTGAATTTGACTCATTTCTACAATGGTTTTATAAATGTTTTGAACACAATGTTTTAGTAGTATATTACTGTGGTTTCTTCTGTTCAATATATATATATATATATATATATATATATATATATATATATATATATATATATATATATATAATATTATATATATATATATATATATATATATATATATATATATATATATATAATATTATATATATATATATATATATATATATATATATATATATATATATATATATATATATATATATATATATTATAATGTGCAATTTCTATTACTGTACACATTTTCATAGATTGGACCTTTTTTCCCCCCATATTTCCTAGGTTATTTTTATGTAACACGATATTACACGGGCATATTAGAGTGTTAGTGTAAGATACATATCAATAGAAAAGACTTACAAATTTTGTCTTGTTATATTCCTCGAAAATATTTTTAGCAAAACAATATACACTATATTTCCTAATAAAAGACAAATGAAAAAAATCTGCTTGTATTTATTTCTCTTTTAAGAATTGAAAACTCTCTGATATGCTTCATGGTTTTTGCAAACAGGAATAATATACACAATAATTTAATACCTTTATTTACAAATTATATTTCTTGCAAATTGAGTGTTATTCACAAAGATTATTGCCAATTTCCTGACAATATTTCTGGATTTATGTATATGATTCATCATAACTGCTCCAATGTACATGTAGAATGTTCTTTTTCCACTGTTCCCCATTCGAAAACTTCTGAAGAATGTCTTTTGTTTCATTGCCCCTCCCCTTCCTGTTTCTTGCCTTTTGGTTGACTATAGAATGTCACTTCCCCTACCCACGTTCTCTCCCTCTCTCTCCCTCACAGTTTTTTTGCTATGTCAGTGACCTCTGTATTGCTGATTGTTGTAGGCATGGTAACAGAAGCTGAAGGGCATCCTGTATATACATTGTGCTGTTGGAGGCCTAAAAAGAATGAAGAGTCACTCTCATCTCTGAATAATTTAACTCTCTACACAATTAAAACATGTCCCTGTGTGTAAATTATTGTGACAATTGGATCTACAGCAATCATAATGGCAAACAAAATTTTGACTACAATCCTCTCATAGGTTGTCTAAAGTATAAATTTAACAAATATATATAGGCATACAATACCTCCAAGTATATGTTGGTTACCACTGATGTGATATCTGGATTTTCATTCTCCTACAAGAAAAACAGCAATGTTCTCAAACGTGGAATGACTCCTATTTTTTGTCCTTATTTTCCATAATGATGTGTTGAAATGATGCTATACCAGATAATCACTATCTGGCTACAAACAAAACCATTCTGATGAGACTGTAGCTCTACTGGTTTGTATAAAAAAAGGAAGAGAAAAAAAAGACACCTGGACTTGACCTTAGTAGCAATGGCAACACAAACAAGAAGCCAAGGGCCTAGAACCACTCTTCTCATGAATTGCACAACAGTGTCACTGTGACCTACTTCTGAATTGGCAAATCCCTGGGCTCTAAGGCACCAAGATGCATCAACTGATAAGGTTTGATGATTCTAAGCCTTTTAGTATTTGAACTATATAACATAACTTTTTTTAAAAATGAACAGCTGAAAAATTGAGGAAGTAGTTTATTGTGACCTTCTTTTTGTTTCACATACTATCAGGCCTTAAAATGCACCAAATGACAAGGTTTGATGATTCTAGGCCTCACAATTTCAAAGATATGCATCTAAAACAATCTGAACATGAATAGCTGCTAAATTCAAAAAAGTTGGTCACAGTGATCTACTTTTGGGTCAACATATCTAAGGTCCTAAGAATGCATCAACTGACAAGTTTTGATGAACATATGCCTCATCAAGGATATAAAGATCTGACAATTAATAATGATAAAGTAGGTCACTGTGACCTCTTTTAATGGACACATCTTGGGCTCTAAGATGTATTACTCTATAAGATTAGTTGACTCTGCAAATTATAGTTTTCAAAATGTATAAATAAAAAGATTTTAAAATGCCATAAATTTGTCAAATCCTAAGGCTACTCCTACTAGTAAGAGCCTCGGTTAACATCCCTATGCTCCTTATATACCTTGTTACGCGGCAACAAGTCAAAAGTATCTCACCGTGAATCTCTAGCATGTTGGAGTAATCCTAAGGCCTAAAATGCATCAACTGACATTTGATGATTCTCTGTCTCTTAGAATTTGAATTGAAATATTAACTAAAATGCTTTGAAAGTGAATAGCCACAAATTAAGAAAGTAGGCCACTGTGACCTATTTGTTCATTCCTAGATGCTGAGACTTTCTCATTCCTAGATGCTGAGACTTTCAAGATGCATTAACTGAAAAAGTGTGATGATTCTAGGCCTTATCTTGTTTAAGATATTATCTAAAACAATTTAAAAATGAATACCTATAAAATTCAACAATTCACGGTGACCTAATTTTGTGACAACATATTTTGAGGTCCTAAGATGCATCAACTGACAAGATTTGATGATCCTAGTCCTTATAGGGGGTAAAATATCAAAGTTTTAACAAAATATCATTTTAGGTCACTTTGAAGTGATCTTTAGACCACACCCTTTGCCCAAGGGTGATGCCTTGAATATTTTTTGATCAACAACATATTCTCCTCCTTTAATATGTATAAATTTGGTGATAATCTGCCAAGTGGTTCTTGAGAAAAAGATTTCTTTGCAACCACTACTTTTGTTTTTATTTTTTTAATTATCTCCCCTTGTTTAAGGGTCACATCCCTACATGTATTTTTAGTATAAATGAAAGCCCTTGGGCCAAAGCTACTCTGTGACAAATCTGATAAAAAGTGGTCCAAGATTTCTTGAGATATGGTCCACATTCCTTCAGCTCAGAAGAGCCAAGAAATAGAATTCTGATCCTTGGGTTTATTTTACTTGTGTACCAAAAACAGTATGATGAGTAGTTTTTTGAAAAAAAAATCCAGCATTATTCTATTTTTGGTAACAATTGCAACTCCAAACCAAATTATACTGTGTTATGTATCTCTTTATTCTAATAGCATATTTTTATTGAAATTGGACTAAACTGTAGAAGTAGCATTTACAAAGAAATTTCATTTTTAATTACTATGGCAACACTGGTCATCAAAATCAAGAAATGATATACAGAATTACATATCTATATAATTATATAGTCTAGTCTACTTGTCTACAAAGTTCTATTGAAATTGCATGGACTTCAACTACATGTACTGGTATAGTAAAATTAGTAGAATTATTATTTTGAAAAATTGGTAACAGGCAATGATAGATACCTTACTATTGCATAACCTATTTGGGTCCTTTACTAGAAGAGCTTAACATGAAGCCACCATTTATTTTTTTTTTTTTAGATTTTTTTTTTGGTTATCCTTAGAAGTGACTAAATGTGCATTTAAATTGATACTTACATCTAGTTTATTTAAGCAGTGACAAAACTTTGTAGCTATAATACCAACTTCCGTGCTCAATACTTTGGCCAATCTGTAAATTAATAATAAACAATTATAGTAATAAAAATTTCAATATACCATATAAACATATACAGTATTCCATGCAGTTATTTTCTATCTTTATGACAGAATAAAGCCATGTAAAGCATTCTGTAATGAAATTAGCAAATGTAAAGAAGAATAGAAAAAACAAATCACATTAAAATGTAGCAAATTTTTGTTTAAAAAAATGTGAAATTATTAAAATGTATCAAAAACAATTAAAGAGGGTGAAATTAACTTTGAGTCAGATCAAAGCCATCAGGGTTTAACACTTTGAAGATAGAATAGTCAACATAATTAGTTATTGTTCTAGTCCTACTACTCAGAACATGCACAACATTTTCCTACAATTTTTAAAAAAGAAATCTTAAGATTATTCTGTTAAAGTTTATTTCAAGAAGAACACTTGGAGTGATACCAGATTTAATTTATCCCATTAAATCTGTTTTTATTTCTGCATCCTTGTGCATCGATCTCTCATTAATATTTTTTACAGTGTACTAGTTAATTGGATAATTCACAATTGATAATCAACTAGTTCTACAGTCTTTTTACAATCCTCGGACCCTAGGAATAGTATTTGTGTCAAACCTTGGATGTAAAAAATGTACAGTTAATGCCAATTTTGCATTCTAGTGTTTGGAGAGCAACATCATATGTATTTTAAACTACAACTTTTTTATAAATATGTTAAAGTGTCATTATTTGTATTATTACAGTTCATAATGTCATAAAAACACAATACAAGAGATGCATTGATATAATAAAAAGAAGTTATAAATTTTCCCATTTTTTGGGTAAATTTATTGTATGAAATTATTTGCAGGTTTTGTTTTTGTATACCAGCATATTATGCATCGAAGTTTGGTTTTACTTAAATTCCTATCTATATCTATAGAAATCATATTGTTTAAGTAACATTAGTAGAATAAAGAAATTTAAAGATAATACAGAATGGAATTAAGCACTGCCACTGTGAATTTCAAAGCGACATATGAAAAAGAAAAAAATGCACAATACATACATGTATATAATACCCTAGTACATGTATTAACAGAAAACAAACAGAATACAAACTTGTATATGTAGAAGGGAGAAAATACCTGTTATAAGTATGCCATTTTGACAGAGCAACTTGACATACTTTACAACAATGTCTGCATGATTAAAGAAAGAAAACAACAACTACCTCTCTAAGCTATGAGCCCTGCTTTCACAGTGTTTGCTGGTGTCTCGCTGTAGGATTATGAGCTCACCAGCCTTATGGAACTGTTCCAAAGATTTTGACGTAAACTCAGCTAATGCCTGAATGGCAGCTTGGTGAATTTCCTATTTAAAAAAAGTGGAAAGATTTCTTTCTTACTAAAGTGATGGCAAAAATGCTGCAAGATTTAGATTTTAAAAAAATTCTTTGATAACTCCATCTTTTAGTCTGTTGTTAAAATGTTGCTTTCTATCACATAAAAATACATCTACATACTTTAAAAATTTTTAATTAAAAATCTGAGCCTTTAACAAAAGGATTACTAGAAGTTCTACATAATATTTATAATAAATCTGAAAATATTGGGGGAAAAACAATACTACCTTGACTGATATTTTGTCCTCTGAGGCAAAATATTTGCCAATAGTTTCTCGAATATTTTCTTGTGTCTACAAAAATTAGTCATTAATGAAAAAGAGTTAATTTCTCCTTAGGGAAAGTGGAATATCCAACAGAAAATTGTGATTATGGTAAAAATGTACATTTTAATCCGATCTTTCTACAGGATTATCACAAAAAGTTCTTTGTACATCTTGGATTATCTTGGCCAAGAGCTTGGCTTTTCTTTTCTTTTCTTTTTTTTTTTGGTATAAGAAGCTTATATGCATTACCTTATTGAGTTTATCAGGAGTGGTCCCGAGATGAATTTCTGACAGATGTTCTGCTACTAACTTTCCAAAGTCATGTTCTTTGTCTTCATTATCATCATCATCTTTAATGAATCAGATTAATATCTTCTTCAAGTCTTTTACTTCTTAGTCATTTTCACCCTTCATATAATCTTATGTAATTTTAATATTACATGTATATATTTCATACATCCCTATATACTTATAAAATGAAATTGCATCTTAACTAAAAAAAAGTGAGTAAGACATTCTGAATTTGTTCTAGAATTAACCATCCCCAAAGAATCCTTCTTTGGGGATGGTTAAGCAATATGGTCTGCACCTTTTAATATTTCACTGTTGCTTGTTAATATTTAATTTCTAATGCATACCATCATTTTCTTCTTGCATTCTTTCAAACACCTGTTTGATGCGGATCAGCTCAGCTTTGATGGAGTCCAGCTTACGATCTGACATGTCCTCTAACAAAGAATGCACTGTCTTCTCACACATATTGGAGAGCATCTCCAAGGCTTCCAGGTGGGCATAACCTACATGTAGAGGTACAGAAAAAAATTTAATAGTTTTTTTTTTGCCTAATGTTAAGCTACTTTTTATCAGTATTAAGATGCTAGAAAATATTTCAAAAATTTCAGGATCAAGAACATATCACACTGCAATGTACACACACCCATACAACATGTAAACTAATAAATTAATATACATGTATCCTTATAATGCATTTCTTAAATCATAGTTGAACCATCCACAAGATATTTAGGTTCAGTACCTTGATCATCCTCAAACATGGCCTTAAAGTTAGTAAGTCTGGCCTCATCTTCTTCTTTCTTTTTTTCTATTTTATTTTCTTCCTCCTTCTGGGCCTCGCGTAAAATCTGGGAAAGACTGGGCTTATCACGCTTATCAAATAAAAACTCTCGTGTCTTGCTCAGTCCAGGGTCATGATCTTTTATCACCTCAAATGTTTTCTTTCCTATTGTTTCCAACACATCCAGTCCCCCAGTTACCAACGTCTTACTCTGCAAAAATGGGTCAAAAAAGGTATAACGTATCTTATATTAAAATAAAATTATATTTTTTTCAAATTTTGACAATTTTCCTTTATGATATGATGTAAGAAATGTAGCCTTTGTGGAAAATAATACATGTATAACAAATGTAGTCCTTCCATTTGCTCAATCCATAGATATATAGACTTCACAGAAAAGCATATCAACTTTGCACATCGTGCTTGGTCGATATGATTTTTTGTGAAGTCGATATATTTATGGACTATATGTATAATATCTTAAGAACTCTGCTTACAGATTTCTGAACCATATTACTGGTATTCTGGACTGACTTCTGAACCATATTTGTTGTGTTATGAACCACTGAGGAGAGGTTAGACAGATTAGACATGCCCCAGCCTGACCACCATCCACTTTTACCACTGGCAGCACTGGCTGATGATGCAGGTTCTGTTGGTGGCTTATCCTCCTCTACAGCAGGTGCTTTCTTTGTTTTTCCAGTTTCTAGGGGAGTTGGTGTTTCTGCACACAAGCAGAGTTTAATTCATTTTATAATATATGATGCATACATATATATAATTAAGGAATTTCTTACTGTGGTATATTTTATTCTAGATGTACTGGAACTTTAAAAAAATCACTAATCCTTGTCAACTATTATCTTTATTAATAAGAAAATGGTTCAATGTAAAATGAATTCAAAATACCATCCTGTTTTTCTTGTCTTTCCATTTTCACTGTGTCTGGAGGAGAGTTTGGTCCCTTCTCTTCCAACAGTTCTTCAACAGGTGGCGCTCCTAATGCTGTTTCCATGCTATCCATAATCGTTGTAAATCCTTCACCTTCAAGTTAAAATATAAATTATTTCACTGGCAAATTTATAGTTGAATTCTGGGGGAAATAAAGCAATTCAAGTTCCATAACTCCTTCTAATGCTTTTCAAAAGTCCCCAATCACACAAACCAATTACTAGTAGATATTAATGTTCTGTCATCTACAGGAAAAAATGCATGACGTTTTTTTTTTTTAGTTCACTATTTTGTAAAGACACAAAGACTCCATAACAAAATCCTCAATTAGGATAAGTACATGCACCTAAGGTAATTACACATTAATTTAAAAAAAAAATAGAGATACTGTGAGCTTTGAGCTCACAAAATGATACCCCCACTCCCATATGAGTTAATGGCAAAGTTCAATTCTTGCTATCTGAAACTCAAAAATATCTGTCTGATCACAACATAAAATAAAAGGTGCACAATGGCACCATGTAATAAAGATTCTGTGAAAGTGTCATTAAATTTTACTCATTGATATAGGAGGAGTGTTACAGACGTACCAACATAGTGACATACAGAAGGCTGTACAGATTGAAGGACATAGGGTGGAAGGACAGACACCCTCATTACTATACAACTTTTCCAAATATATCAGATATTTAACTTATAACTTTTCAAGCGGGTATATAATAATAAATGCCTATGTTTTTATAACAAAAGCAGTAGATCCATCAGCAAAAAAAAAAATCTCAATACAAAAAGCTTGGACAAAGACAAAGCAATCTCATTACAAGAAAATGATCAAGTATGTGTTTTTTAAATAGTCTGCTGCATATCATTAGAAAATACCTATGACTTACCCAGCTGGTTGCTGAATGTTGATACGGAGGTAGATGCAACATTCATTATAGATGATCCCCAATTTCCCCATGAACCCCAACTTTCAGACTAAAAGTAGAGACATGTGTATGAATTAGCTTAAGATAGACTAAAATTGATAAAGATTGCCATTTTTAAAAGCTTGATGAAATAATAAACATCTAGTTACTATTTTTTTTTCTAAATTTGAAAACAAGATAAACCTTTTGCTTTGATGACTGTGTTAACCTGTCCAAAATAGACTTAGGTTCGTGTTTTTCCTGCTCAGTCTTTTGACTCTCTTTACCAGTGGATTGGTGTTCCTCTTTACCAGCAGACTGGTGTTCCTCTGACTTCACATTAGTTGTTGTTACCTCCCCTGTGACACTGTTTTCTTTTTGGCTCTCACTCTTTGTATTGGTACCTCCTTCAATCTCTGGAGATTTGTTTTCATGTGGTACTGCTTTACTAACAGGGGGTTCTGATAAAGTTAATTTTTCCTTTATTTCTGAGCTTTCAATCTCCAGCTTCTGCTCTCCTTGTGACAGTTCTGTAGCCACTAAAGGTATAGACTTATCCTTTTCAGGTAACTCCAAATCACCTGCAGATTTTGCTGAGGTACTTTCAGAATCTTTTCCTGAATCTTTAACCACTGTTTCTGTTTTAGTTTGCTTTCCTTTTTTCTTTTTTCCCTTTCCTCCCTTAGATTTTTTTTCCTGTTTTTTAACTGGTGGGACCTCAGCCTTAACTATCTCCTTTGCTTTAGGAGCACTATTTTTTTTAGTGTCATCTTTCTTGTCACTGTCGTTTAGTGTCTTGCCTTCACTCTTTCCATCCCCTGCTGCTTTGCTAGCCTTACCCCCCTCCTCTGTTGCCTTTACTTTCTCTGGGAGTGGGCTTGGTTGGCTGGTAAGGGGAGGATCAGACTCTCCTTCATCAGCACTGGCAAAGGCTGCATCGTCTTCGGAGTCGGACATCTTCTTCTAAACTATATAATTATAATAAATATAATTTCTAATCTCAGATGTCATTTTACTTTTTTTTCTTCACCATGATAGCTTTGTTCTGTATTGTACTTCATTATTTGTAAATGTCTCCCTTTTATTTAGATGACCAAAATTTGTTGATAAAGGTACAAATATGGTTTGATTACTCTTAACCCTGACAAGTGCCTTTTCCTCACAAATCAATTTTTTATTATTCCTAGCCATGTACTTGTATTTCAGGTTTTAAGTTATGACAATAATAAATCATTCTTTCATTTGTTGTTATACATGTATTCTGGGTCAGTTATGACCCGGGTTTCTAATATCTTATTCAAACTTATTCATATCATGCATAAAAAACTGATTCTATGTTACTTTTTTATACACAACTTCTGAGGCCACAACTTTTTTTTAAAACTGATTTATTGCAATTTGTTTTCAAAGTTCATAGATTTTTTTTTTAAATGTTTACTTTAAATGCTTCAGTTTGAATGATAATGATGTTTGATATTTAGACAATTAGAGTTTACATGGTATTGTAAATACTGCATCATTTGTGGATCATTACAATCATGTTTTTTGGTTCCTTAAAAAGATTTTTATTGACTGTAATAGAATAAATAGCACATATTAAAGTCCTTTGTCAAATAAAAATTGTTAAATTGGTTATGAATATCAATAAAAAAAAATCAAAATGCTGAAATAATTTTCACATTGCAATATTTAAGGGAGAAAATACGATCAACAAAGTGGTACATGAACTATAAATCTTCTATGATATAAGTCAGACTTACCATGAGATATTAATTTTGAAAGAAATCTATTGATTCTGGTTACATTCAAGTTAAATCTAAAGTCTCAAATATACACTGATTGTTGATTATGATTACATGTGTATTACTGGTAATGTGTGTGAAAATGGTTCTCTGCTTCTGGTAGAAAAAGTCAAAAATATGAAAAGTATACAGACAACAGACAGACACACAGAGGAAACTGGACACTCTTCCATCAGAGAGGCTCATTTGAGCCTTTGTCTCGGGTGAGTTGATGTGAGAAAAGGATTAGAAAAACAATAAGTAATCTTTGGAATAACAAATCAAAATTTTTCAGATAAAGTTGTCAACAGCCTAAGGTCATCATCCAGAAATTCTCGCTAAAGTGGAGTAGCTAAATAAAGCTACATAGACAATTGAAGCTACGTACCTAAATATAATGATTGTACTGGACCTCAGGTTTATATAAAAAAAAAAAACATATACCATGCTTTGTAATATTTGATGCCCTAAGGTTCAAGAGAACTCTGTTCTGGAATATTTTTATCCATCAATGTTGTCTTTTGGTTGTCATATCATAACAATACACCAGAAAGTGCACACTCGATCCTGGCAACTTCAGGACTGTTTACATTACTATAATGCTCCATGATATCAGATACAGTCATATAGGGTATTCCGAATCACCTTTTACATTTTGGCTGTAAATGAATTTATTAACAAGTTTATAACTGGTTGTTTAGTATTAAAGGAATGTCAGTTCTATGAAAAATCAGATCTACTTTATAGGTGAGTTTATCTTAGATACAGCCACTTTGACAGGGGTTATATTCACACCCCCTTTTTAGTGTATGAAGGTCACTAGTCATATAAGTCAAATCACTACTTTCATTCACCTTGCATTTAAGAAAACCAGTGTAAGTATAAAAATATCTGACATATAACAAGTGTGATGTGTATGCAATTTATATTTGGCTGCGGTCATGTATTGCACACGTGGTTCGAAATACCCCAAAATGTAGGGGGCTACAAAAACAATTAATGCTCAAGGAAGCTTATAAAATAACCCAAGAAACGGTTATATTTCATCCACCAACAACGCCATCACATCGATGAGAAATACCGTGCAATGTTTCTACGTGGGAATTAATTCAATTTTCTTCAAAAATAATAGCAAGTTAGTGAATTAAATAATCAATTTTTTAATTAAAGCATTATGTTTACCTCTTTATTTTTGTATGTAATAAGTATGTAATAGCGAGCGCAGCGAGCGGCGCAAAGCGCCGCTCGTCACTGCGAGCATTTAAAGCAACGCCTGGGCGAAGAGAAAATTCGGACTTTACACATTGATCCAAATGAATTATTTTCCGCAGTTACCTGTGGTCCCATAATGCTTAGCAAATTGCATCTCGCCACAAATAACATTCTCGCGGTAGCAACAAAAACTCGACAAAAATTAATCACCTTGATATAATGGATATAAAGCAGATAAATAGTAGATCAAACGTTCTTGATTAAAATTAGCACTGTTCAGACTTCGTTTTGGTAATGCAACATACGTAGCAATGTCACATGCTGTTTGACGAGCCCGATCTAAATTAAAACTGAAAGGTATCTGCGCTCGCCCTAACGGTTGCACCGTCAACATATTAAGTATAAACCATACTGTTAATGACTGTTTGGTTGTCACATGTATGCATATGTCATGCGAGGTACAGCGATAAGGTAAATTACCAAGAGGCACCAAATGCAGGGTGATTCAGAATACCCTAAATGACTGTAAATCATTGAAGAGTTAAGATTGTAGCATTATGCATAACATAAATAACAGTCACTGTCATTGCAGATGGCACATATGGTGTCTCCAAAACATATTATTAGAGCGAATCACAATAAAAAAGATATTGATGTACAATGATACATGGAAGTTGCGATCCACAGTTCTGATAATGACAGTATTATTTCAGTCACAAGTAATTATAATACAGTAAAAGGAAAATTTTCTCATATTGAGAAGACAACAGTGTCTTTAAAAGGCTCTATCATATTATCATCTTAGGAAGAATCTGTCAAATCAAGGTTACCAGAATCTTTGACTCCACCAAAGCTAAGTTTCCTTTCCTCAAGAAATGTATAGGAATAATTTTGATACTTGACACGTCAGTATTTCCACTAACTTCAAAGCAACATAGTGTTTATCAATGTTTGTCAGACACCTAAATTACCTATAGTAAGGTTCTCCGAATAAAAACTTAGGTAAGACGAAGATTGTAAGAAAGAAATAAAGGTCAAGGCCGAAATTTTTGAATAATGTATTCCGTGAATAAGTCGTATGCCTCATAAATAAAGCTTGGTTATGTGTTAAAATTATTGATGTGATTCTTGATAAAAATAATTAAGTAATCTTTCCAGAAATTAGATCATATGGAGACAAAAAAAATTTTTTTTAAAAAAAAAAGGCTCAATAAAGGGAATGATTTCAAGTGAGTTTAGGTACGACTTATTTTGTATAACAGAGGAAATTCGAGTCACTTGAATCAAAACAAAGATGGCTGGTGCTTATGAGGTTGTATTATGGAGATTTTTTTAGTAATTGTAGATTTTCGAAATTTAATAAAACCTACGCTCAAACTGAAATGAATCATGTGTATACAATGTATCTCGATTTTCCAAACATGCAGTTTTCCAATCCTGATTATGTTTACATGTTTAGAACCCAATATACACCACTGTACACTAAAGAGTTATGATTCTTTGGTATTTTTATAAAATAAGATTAATCTGCCCTTGATTAAAATCAAGTGAATTGAGACCATATAGTGTATTTTCATTCCTAATCAATTCAATCATTCCTAACACAGTGTTTGAAACTCATCACTGCAAAATAAGCCAGACATGCAGGGCTGACTGCTAGTAAAAGTTGTCAGCCCTGCGAAAGATCTACTAGCCCGAGAAAATAATTGTCTTTTATAAATTTGTTTTTAATGATTATGTGACTGGAACCAGGTCAACATAACTTTGAACCAGAATCTATAGACTGATGAAGTCTTCCTCTTAGATAGAACGTTCTATCGTTAAAATGATATTGTCCTACTGACCCGTTTTAACAATAGAATTCGTCCCATATTCTGTATTGGCAATGTAGCAAAATAAACACGGGCGATAACAATAATGGGTGGGTTCGCCCCAATTACATGTTCGCTTTGAGTGGTTTCGCGGCAAGTGGTTTCGCCCCCATTATATCTGTTACCTGTAATTAAAAGGTGTCAAATTTTTCCATGTGTGTATTTTGGCAGTTTGCTATGACAAATAAATCTTCAATGTTTATGTTTGTGGTTTTTGCATATGTGCTATTGAAAAGGTTTTTATTGTATACATTTAAAGCGATCTACATGGCACACCTATTTGACTACATTTTTAATGAAGTAAACCTACTTGCATCAAACTTTGAAAAAAAAATTTTGTATGATCATAGATCTGTCATGAAAATCAGACTGGAAATAATTATTAGTATTGATCTGTACCTCATAACTGAATCTAATTAAAGTGCTTAATAATTATATTAATCTAGACACTCATTAATCAAACGACTTTTGCTTAAATAAACATCAAGCACATTGTATGTTTGAAGAAAACCACTCGGGGCGAATCCACTCAGGGCAAACAGGGAAAGGGCGCAAAACCACTCAGAGCGAACAGGTAATCGGGGCGAAACCACCCACATTAAACATTTTTTCCAGGGGGTAAATACCAGGTACCCTATGTTGAAAACTAAGAAGATAAACTCAATATTTACCCAGCTTGTATACAATATAATTTTCTCACTGTCAAAAAAAAAAAAAAAGAAATCATTTTCTTGTAGTGTATAGCATGCATAGATGGTCTTTAATTTATATATGGTATTATATTTTCTTTGCTAAGAGCTGAAAAATGAAAGGTATTATCTTGGTTAAAGTTTGAATTGCTTTTTAGTACATATAATATATATATATATATATATATATATATATATATATATATATATATATATATATATATATATATTATATATATATATATATATATATATATGAGAACATACTGTTACGTTCAGATAAGTTTACCTGTGAAATTCGGATTAACTGTTGTTGACAAGTTCCGAATAAACGGACCCTGAACCCGATGTATATAAACTACTAAAATATTTGTCAATGAACAATAACGAAAGAATTGAACAATAATTGATTTATTTGAACTTTATCAATTTGATTTATGTATTGTAATGACAAAGCATTATACTGTATATGTTCTATATAGGTACAACGTTATTTAGTAATTTTAGTGGTTAAAACCCGCTAACTTACAAATCAGATATTAATTGTGACGTTATTGGTTTCTGATGTTTCTATGTCATCATAACAACTTTTGTCTATAAAAGACAGCTGTTTTGTGTTTAGAAGTCAGTCTGCAGTAGGTAGCGACTCCGTATACTTCGGGTGTAAGACAGTGGTATGTACAAACAGTACCAAGTCTATGTTTACGAAATCATTAGTGAAGAGTCATATAGAGTAGAAACGTCCTGGATTGACCATTGGTTCGTCATCTTTGTATTAACCAAATAATGATGTACCAACAAACTACAGTTTTATATTGTTTTCCATTGTGCTTGTACCTGAACCATTTGATCATCTTAATAAATATCATCAACTTTACAACGTGTTATTCATCACGGTTCTAGTGCAGATATTATAGTGAACTAAAATTTGGTCATTTCGCCAATTATTTAGTGGACCAAAAATTGGTCGTTATTCTGATTTTGTATAAATTTTGTGGACAACCAATTCAACCATGACCAGTTACCAGAAACCAACAGGGGCCTACGATTAACTGATTAAGTAATAACCTTATACCCTCGGTTTCGTTACAATACATATATTGCAACAATTGAAATTCTGTTTTTGTAATTTTTAGAAAAATCCAGGAGACCATAGGCGTAAGTGGGATAAAGAGGAATATGAACGCCTTGCTCAGGAGAGATTGGAAGAGGAGCAGAGAAAATTGTTGGAAAAAGAATTGAGAGAGCCCCCTCAGAAAAGGGAGCTTCTTAAACCTAGAGAGTACAAGGTATTTTAATATAGCTTCCAAACACTTCTAACTGCATTTTGTCATCTGAATGTTGCTTTAATTTCATCAAATGCCAGGAATGATACAGTAATAATACGCTGGCATTTATACAATCATCTGAGCCAAAGGCTGAAGTGAGCTTTTCTGAATAAAGATTGCCTGGCATCTAACTGTCTTTATGTCTGTCATAGTCATCTGTAAGCTACGAGGGTTGTCCATAAAGTTCGTGTACAACCTCTATTTCAGGGCCTAGGCTTTTGTTAAGAAAAAGGAATAAGGTTTAATATAACATTCTTACTGTACTTTACTTTTAATGTTTATAAAGTTTTAAGAAAATGCAATTGTTGGAAAATATAATTATCAAGCTTTAAAAAAATTTGTTCTTTCCATCTGGAGCACAGAGACAGTGTAAGAAAATGTCATAAGTGCAAGTCAGCATATTAGAAAATCTTCTCCATCCTTGTGGTAAATCCTTTAAAAAGTTTTAGAGGGGGTTAACCCATCCTTCATATTATCAGCTGTAAGAATTCTCGGTACCCATCAAACGCAGACCAGGGTCATATGCAGCTCATTAATTCTAAGATTTCATGTGATTTACTTTTAGATATCCCACATTTTTCAGAAACTTCACGTTCCGTAAGACATCCATCAGCATTGATGACGTCGCGCACCTCATTGCGAACATCCTCTGACGCCCATAAAGATGGCTTACTCTTTCGTTTATTATCCTCCAAACTCAAATGTCCATCCAAAAATCATTTGTGCCACCTGGCATGGTTATGGATTCTATGATGAATTTCAGAAACATATTAGAAGGGTGATTAAATTTAATTTGCAATCTGATTTAAGATTACTTACTTACATCAAAATACAGTTTTAATGGATTTTAGCGCAATTTATCATGAAAAATAGAGGAAAGGAAATTGGAAATGAAAAATTGATTTTTGGGCAATTTTCAATTGCTCCAGGTTCAGATGCCTCCTTATCAAAACCTTAAGTATTACATTTAATGTTTTGAATTTTCATTTAACATTTCATTAAATGACGTTTTTATGTGTAAAATTAAAGCCTGTCCACAAATTTTATGGACAACCCTTGTATTTTACATCTTCAATTTATTTTCCACTGGGCCAATATTTAACCACTCTTGTTATAAAGTGTTTCTAAGTGAAGGGAATTCAAATTTATTCAGACAGCGGGCCAACCCTCTTTCAATGGGTCGGAGATAATTAAGAAACGGTGAAAATTTTATGGGTTACCAAGGTATTTAAAAATCTTCTTAAAGTACCTTTAGGTTAGAAAAGTGAACCTGTGGGAAAATTTTTCTGATGAAGTGTATTTGGGAGTAAATTTAACTTGGGGTTGAATTATCTGGTCCTTGTAACTGGAAGTGGAGCCTATCAAATATTAAAATCATGAATATTTTCATGAGGCCAAAATAAAATTATTGTTTGTTTGGAATTGCCTCCCGCCTCATTAAAATAACCCCTTCTGGAAAATTTTTTTTGATCAAAAATAAGAAGATTTTTTTTTATTCAATCAATTCTTGGCCTATTACCACATGTGCCACCCAATCACTTAATAAGTGTAGGATCTGAGCAAAACTGGGTTCCTGGTTGATGGGAGATACCCTTTTAAAAAAGGCAGAAAATAGTGTGTTCATTCCTTATTGAGATTTTTATCATCAATTTTTAATGTAACTTTAATTTTGAAAAAAAAAAATAATTTCCCTCCCTCCCTCCTGGATCTGAAACCTCCCAGGCGGCAATTCCAAACATACAATTTTTTAAGGATGGCCTGAATTGTTTTTTTTTTTTTTTATGTACTGCAACCCACATTTTTAAAGGTGGGTAGGTCAGAAGGTAGGTATTTTTTTAAAAAAATAATTTTTTAACACTTTCATTTGATAATTTCATAGAAACCACAGACATAAATTTTCATTATAGACCCCTGACAGCTAAACAGATTTAATACATCTATCTATTGCTGTAAAATCTTTTAATCTAAAAAGCATCTTCGAAAAATTATAGACCTTAACTTTAAAAACAATACCGATAATCTTTATTTTCAAGAGAAAAAAATAGTTAAGGAGGCTGGGGGGTCAACAAATTAACCATCAGATATAACTTAATTTTTTAGATATGATATTTTAAGCTGTCAACTATCATTTGGCAAACAAAATTTCATACATTTTAGTTTTAAAATTTATTATTATATGGAGCTCTTCTTCTAAAGGAGATCAATACGTATGGTCTGAAAATGGCCACAACCACCCAGCCCTCTTAAAATAGAATTTAAAGTACTGAAAAAAATCAAAAGGGGCTGAGCATAGGTACCATATTTTTACTCATTTATGTCAGGATGTGTGAATTTAAAGTTTCAGGTTTTATTCATGACCACTTTTCTGGCTAGAAAGCAAAGCAAGCCATGATACAGGTGTATAACAAATAATTATCATATTAAGCTGCATACCCGGTACTTATAATTTCAAAAATTTTATTTTTACACTGTTAAACACTCCACTGGAGTACATTGAACTCCAACCTCCAGAACACCCTTTTTACATGTATGATGAGAAACATCCAGTCAAAAAAAGTTTTTTCATGTTATTCTTTATCTCTTAAGAAACATTATACTTTAGATTCCCAAATATACACGAGGAATTTTAAATTATTACATAATTTCGTGAGAAGCACCATTCGCAAAATAAAGAAGAAGGTATGGTATTGTGCCCTAAAAATTAAATGTTTTCAAAAAGTTTTGAAACTAGCTTAAATAGTAGTTGAGTATATGACTGTAATAAATCAGGAAAGAATATAGCATGATGGAGTACCATTCTCGATATATTACGTCATTAATTTGATACATTTCTCTATTTTAAACAGAAAAAGCCTCAAAATGACCCATTTCAAGGGTTATTTTCCTTAAGAAAATAGTGTCCACAGCCGTCGCCCACGTTAATTTTTAGATATGTTGTGTAAAATTCTTTAAAAAATCACATATTTCAAAATCTTTGTGGGCGATGCCTGTGGACAATATTATCTGAAAGAAAATTCCATTGAAAATTGATGTCTTCTGCAACTTTTTAAGAAAATACGGGAAAATGCACAAGTTTATGATGTCACAATTAGCATTTGGAAGGTCATGTGAGAAAAAAGATTTGTATGATCTTTCTGCATGGAATTTCAATAATTCAAACAACATGAGTTTTAATTTTTTACATCACTTTTATTTTTAAGAAAAACACAGGGCAAGATTTGTATTGAAACCATACCTTGTTCTTACTTGTTTTTATTTATATGGTGCTGAAATGCATGTAAAATCTCTACCTGGCTGTGAATTGTTCTTGCGATTTGATGTCTAAGGAGCATTTCGCGATATTAAGTACTCGCATAAAATAAAGAATCTACAGTAGTTAATAGTTATGTATTAAAGGAAAAACTGCTTATTAATTATGCTAATAAAATGTAAAGAAAAAGGAAATGATGAGTATACACAATGCTTTTATTGTAGGTTGATTTAGATTCAAAACTTGGAAGGTCACAGGTGATAACAAAAACAACTCCAGCCTCACAACAAGGAGGGTAAGTCACATGAAATAAAATTTAATTTTTCATTTAAGTTGTTTAAAATGATGGGAATTTAAAAATACCCTTAAGTTTGACTTATCACAAAATAAAATATTATCAAATTTTTGTGGTGTCAGTAAAACTTCAGACTGTGATTTTTAATCGTTTGTCGGTGTGTTTTATAGGTACTACTGCAATGTCTGTGATTGTGTTGTTAAAGACTCGATCAACTTCTTGGACCATATCAATGGGAAAAAACGTAAGTATATTCAGGACAATCCAATCATTATCATAAAATTAATCTTAGTATCATAAGATAAATATAATTTTTTTTTCCTTGTTCTATTTACTCTTTTGTATTCATTGTTTGTCGATAGCAGTGCACAAATGTTGTTTCAAAATTAGTCACTAATTCATTCAAATTATGTCCTATATAGATCAGAGAAATTTGGGAATGTCCATGAAAATAGAAAGATCATCTTTAGATCAAGTGAAGAAAAGGTTTGAAATGAACAAAAAGAAAATGGAAGAGAAGAAGAAAGAGTATGACTTTGAGGAACGATTAAAGGAATTAAAAGAGGAGGTACAGCAGCGGCTTTTTTTTTTAATTCTAAAATCATAGATATCAAGATTCAAATTACTGATGATGTACTTTTCTCCATGTGGGATTAATATATGCTATGTATGTGGTCACAAAATTTATGGGAAAATTTGTCACAGTTTAACCTACAAATAAGACATACAATGGCAATCCAAAAAATCTGTGAAATTACTGATCCATGAATTGAAAAATGTGATTCCGCCCAATTATGACCCTGTGAGGAAAAAAAAACTATATTTACAGTAATTCAAGAATTGGCTCTAGTTTTCATGTCGAGGGGGACTGACCCTCTTATAAGAGAGGTAACTTTCCAAGTTAAAAAATCTGGATCCGGTTGCACGAACGTTAGTTAACTTTAACTGGCTGTTAACCTTACATTAACCCAACGTTAAATTTAATGGCGAGTTAAACCGGTTGCACAAAAGTTAACTATTAGTTAAATCTTAATTAATTTTCTGATTTAACTAACAGATTTAACTGAAGTTACCTAGTTACATTAAATACTTAATTAAACATTAAAATCAAAATCGCGAACTTGTTATCATTTCAAAACTTGTTTGCGAGGAAGGAAGAACTTATACAGAGATAATAGAAATGTCTGACTTGAGCAACATGCAAATTCAATCCTTAATTTCAATTTAGGCAAGATTGTATTATACATGTATATTGCAGATATATGTTGCGATATTATCTGCAAAAAACAACAAGACAAAATTATTCCATATGAGTGGCGATGTAGGTACTTTCTTTTTATCCGATTATGCATACAATGTCATTATATTTTATTAAAAAAGATCATCATTTTAAAAAATTGTAAGCCTCAGACAAGTTAGTGAAAAGTAAATTAATCGTTCAATTCCACAAACTTCAGGCACTTAAAACGGGGAGGGGGTGTTCCTCTCCCACTTTTTTTTTTAGAGATTTTTCAAAATTATTTTCAATTTCCACTCCCAAAAGTCGATGTGCTAGAAGTTAATACAGAAAACTACATGTACATAATTTGTAATTGCAATGTTTATACTACATGTAAAATAACCATCTTTCAATGTAAAAATTCATATTTGAAGTAACTATCTTTAATAATATATTTAATATATTTTACCAATATAAGATTTACATTTACAGTAAATAACCTTAGCAAATTAACATTTATGAACTGACGTCATTTTAATTATGATGTCAGAAATATTTCACCATAGGTAAGGGAAATGCGTGTGTAGAACGATTTTAACAGAGAGTTAACTTTAAGACATCGATTAAATGTGAGTTAGCTAATTTATTTTTAATAGACTTTCGAACAACAAAGTTTTAACTGACAATTACGTAACTCGTCGTTAAAAATTTAACAGCTAGTTACGACACTAACTGAAAGTTAATATAACTAATGTTCGTGCAACCAGATCCTGAATATTAGGGCTTCAAAAATTAATAATTTGGTTCTCAGGCCCACCAGCATCTCATTAAACAATGCGCATTACCCATTTTTATCTTCAAATGAATAAAATAAAATTTAATTCTCTCATGCGCTCGTATGGAGCCAAAAAAAAAACCCACCAGAATCCCTGACTGCATTTTAAATACTCCCATCAGTAAAACGTTTGACAAACATCAAGATGATCCAGACTATTGGCCTACAATTGAAACTTCTCGGGCCTTTCCGACAAGTGGAAAAACAACCTCAAATGTGTTACGTAGGCGTCCATGAAAACCCCCTTGTCATTAGCGGGTCCATCAACAGTAAAAAAAAATTAATACATGTACTCAATTATTTAACAGGAAGAGAAACAAAAAGCCTACAAGAAAGAGAGAAGGAAAGATAGAAAAAGGAAAGCCGAGCCAGATGATTCTGAGGGTCCTTCTGATATGGCTGCAGTCATGGGGTTTTCAGGATTTGGAAGTTCAAAAAAATGACAGAAGTTTAATTTACACTTGACTAAATTTTCTGTGCAACTGTTAACTACTTTTAGTTTGGTTCAGTCATTGAAGAAATTATGGACATACAAGAACACAAAAGTTGAAGAATCTTTCCTGTATGTGTTAAATATTTAAAGCCATAACATTTTCATGAGAAACCAAGTTATCAAGATATGTGCTCCTGTTCAAAACAAATGGCTTATTTTTCATTGTGAAAATAAATTTTGTAAAGTCAAAAACCATTTTGGTTTTCCTAAATAGAGGTTAAATGTACTGTAGGTACTGCTGACTTGCAGCACCTGCACAAGCGAGTCTAGGCTAGGTACAGAGGTTCTATGCAAATGAGCTAATTAAAACACTTAATAAAAGGTTTATTATTCACAGAAACTCTCATCTTACTTTCTAATATATATACTAAGGACCCATGACATGGTATAGCCAATACACATATGATGTCATATTATGACATCATTATTCTCTACTAAAAAGAAATAGTACAAATCTCTTTACTGCTTAAACTTTCAGTAAGGCGTGACATTCTCGGCGATACATAATAAGCGTCTCTCATCGACCTAGATTCTCATTGGTTGCCGGATTAGCTCATCAATACTGGAATTTACACAGCTTTTCATACACAGGTGAAATACACATGGAATAAAAATGAGTCAGAGTCAACGAGTGACACAAGGAACCAATTACATCATTTCTTACAGTAAAGAGGTTTGGCTTACGTCATCTCATCGTTTGTTAACAACAATCTAAAGTTGATAATGTTATTAATTTCTTAACCAGTGAGAATCTAGGTCACCATTTGGGATACACTAATTATGAATGTCACGCCTTACTGGAAGTTTAAGCAGAAAAGAGATTTGTACTAAACATAAACAAAACAGCTTCAGCGCAAGAGCATAAACATGTTCAATTTGACATAAACAAGACTTAGTAAGCAGAATGATAATATCACTGCACAAATGTCAACAGTTCAGTTGTTAAGTTATTATCTGTGAAGTTTACAGTTAAAACACGTAAAAATAGATTCACAGTTTGCCATAAGTTTCTTTCAGTTCTAATCAAATGAGATAATGCACTGGTTTGTGCAGCAAAACCGTTACTCTTTGATATATTCTTCCTCTTATTATACAATAATTCTGTAAAATTAAGGTATTCATTGGATGATAGAGAGAATTTGTGGCTTTCAGTAGATTTTCAAATTAAGCAATGCATATAAAATGAGTTTAAAAGATGGTAAGAACAAACAACATGAAGTAAAGAAATGTATGGACTGAACATTTTAATTAAGATTAATCGTTAATTATTAGTGTTATCTCCCCTTGAAAAAGTCTAAAAAATATTATATTAATTTCTTTAAAATTTGCAAGGTGTCATATGCATTTTTTAAAATTCATCAAGTTCAATAGAACATTTCTATGGATATTTTCACCAATTGCTTTTCTCCAAATATTAATTTCTTTATGAAAATGAAATTTTTCTCATTGGCTTCTATCAAATTAATTAGGTCATATCTATTCATTTTGAGGTAATGCTGAAAAAATCTCATGATAAATATTTTTCACCACCTGCCTAGTATTGCCGTTGTCCTGCGTTAGATTCCCGGTTCCTCCATACTTTTTTTCCTTTCATATTACATATGATGCCTTGTACCTAGGATTTGAGAATGAAGTGGTTTGGCCTGTACAAGCCCGGCCTGGGTGGCTCAGTGACTGGAACACTTGATTAGTGATGCAGGAATCCCACGTTCAATTCTTGGTCCAGCCATACATTATCTCATATATTACACTGTTACACAGTAAAATTGTTTCAAGATTTCCAAGAAATAGGATCATCTAACCTGGTCATTTGATACATCTTGGAGGAATGATGTTTTATAACTTGTTTTATAACACATAAGGTCATATTGAACTCATTTTTAAAAAAATTCTAAGTTTATACATACTGTATTGTAAAATCACATATTTTTGTGGGGTCAAATTTTTGTAGATGGAGGAAAAAATAGGGGTTCATGGGGATTTATTTGGTGAATGCAAAATTGTTGAGTGCTTATACATAGGAAATTTAACATTTCTTGGTGGACATGAATTTGTGGGTCTCTTCATACCTCAAAAACAACGAAAATGAAACCCCATTAAAATTAGTAATTTCACAGTTAGGGCTGGGCAATAAAGCCGATATTCTGGTATATTGTGGTACGCTGACAAAAAATGTCTTACTGCAATATGTTTTTGTAGTATCGATGTACCAGCAAAATGCTTGGACTTGAATTTCTATAATAATATATATTAAAGTATAAGTTGCAGAAACGTTTGCCATCGTGCCAAACAGTAAGACAAAAGCTGTTGTACTGGGTGTATTTCGATGCGTAACTGATATGAAATCAAACACTTGACATTTATTTTTTCTTAGTCATTTATCATAGTCATATTCATTCTGCATGTAAAAGGAAAGTTAATCAAATAAGAAAATACCATTTTAATTTTCATTGAAAATATTGCAATACATATGGCAATACAGTTAAAAATATTGCAGTATGAAATCTCTAGCCAATACCCAGCCCTATTCACAGTTGTCAAATTGTACATATCATCTTTTGCAGTGCAATACTTAGAATTATCAAACCTGATCAGTTGATGTATGTGCAAGCATGGTGTATAGAGGTTTGGTTAGATACAGCTCTACTAATTCATCAAAATTGAATACTGATTCATATACATACATGTATGTAACTTTTAATCGTACACCATTGTAAGTTTTATTCAAATGAGACCAAAAACTGCATGGTCAGACACCCACGGGTAATCTTGTTGTTTATTCATCAAAAAACAAGATCACCCTTGGGTATCTGACAATGCAAAATCTGTTGAAGTGTTTGAAAAATTGTTTACAAAAAGAAAATAGCCCCTTTACTATCACTTGAGGTCTTGTAGTCTTTGACCAGTAAAGCTGAAAATTCTCTGAAATATTTGAAATGAAATAAAATTTATATGCTGATCCTTTTGGTGTGTAAGTTTTAAGGAGGAATTATTCTTTTCCAAAGAAAAATTAGGAATTAAGCTACACTTATAATAAAATATTTTCTTCCATATCATCTATTCCAAATGACCAATGAATGATAACTTGATGGATCTTGGCAGAGTAGAGTGATAAACTGCAAACATGAGTATAATTTGGAGGTGTTGACCTTGTTAGAAAAGAAAAGCAAAAAACTCTCTCCTAATAGAATCTTTTAATGAAAAGCTTAAAAGAAAAAGCATACTCATATTATAAAAAGAAAACTTAAAAAAAAAAAAACAATAAAAAATCAGAAATTTAAAATATGTTATTGTCCTGAAACAAATCTTTGAAGTTGCTTCTTCCCTCATGCTCAGAGCTTGCAATGAACCTGAAATAAGGAACAATGTGTTTTTGCTGAAAGATCACTCTTTAAAAAAAAAAATAAAAAGATAAGAAAAAATTACGAACACTCCTTACCTTCTTCCTTGCATGTTTTGTGACTTAGCAGGGCTGAATTTTGAAAACATCTGGAAAACATCCTTTTCATCACCATCAGCATGACTCTTTGCAATGTAAATTTCCAATTTTATTAAGTTCAATTTACTCTGTAGACTAAGTACTAGTAATTTGTTACTTACTTCCCATTATACTGGTAATTGAAAATAGCTTTATTTTTGTGTCCAGGACTTAATTGACCCTTTTTGGTATAAGGTCCGCAATATTTATCAAAAATTATGTTTTACTGTTACAGTGTATATTGTAAATTAAAGCTTATCCTCAGTGCATTTTTATGTTATTTCAGAATTCCATTTTGTTGATAAAAAGCACTGAAAATTCAATCTACTTGGAACTTTTACCTTAATTTTGGGGAAAAAAAGAGTCTATTATGAATTAGACCTGATGCAAGGGATATGATAAGCTAGCTGGTGTCAAAACAACAATGGCAGTTTGTGAAATCAAGCAGACACTGCATGCAAGGGAAATGATAAGCCCTGGTGTCAAAACAACTTTGGCAGTTAGTGAAATCAAGCAGACACTGAAAAAATGATAATTTACTGTATATATTACTGTATACAGGGAAATATTTGCTCATTTTGCCCTTGTTCCAAGTGGGCGAATTTAAAATGGGTTGAATTTAAAGAAGACATCATTATCTCTTATACATAACTAAATTTGGGCGAATTTTAAACTGGGCAAAACTATTTGCAAGTGTGAAAAGGCGAAAATAACCCTGTGTACAGTATGTAATCAGAGGAAATATCAAATTTAACCATCTTTTTTATTGCACTTACATCTTTTATAGGGGAGCATATTTTCTTTCCATCATGAGGAACATCCATACACTCCAAACATTCATGGTCTTGAACTTCTTTTCCTATTTTAAGGTGAATGGGTATTTGAACTGGTGTCTGACTCTTGGTGCTGTCTGTACAATCACTACTGTTGCTGGACTCTTGGATTTCCTTAGATAATCTGTTGACCGATTCCTTCTCCTCTGCTGCTTCCTCTGTAGTACTGTCCTTCTCAGACACCACTGAAGATAGCTATATATACAAAGCAGAGATGGATAAATCTTAGGTTTCTGCATTAAAAATGCTACAAATAATTATAGTACTAGTAAAATATATACATGTCTACATAATTAAGTTTTTCAATGTGTTTTGTACTAATGTAGGTGTAATAGCAAACCTGGCTGATTCCAGAGAGACAAGGTGAGCTAGCTTCAGTATCAGAGATCTCTGGACACTGTACAGCTCTCTGCATCCTGAGTATTGCCGTCATCAGAACTTTATTTGTCGGTCGGATGTCATCAGCAGTGGATGAACTGTCACTATCTCCAGTGAAATATGGAGATAATTCTTCTGTATGGGAATTTTTGTTAAAGTCTATTTTGTTTGGAGATTCAGAGATAAGCTTGTCAGCATCCATTCTTCCTACAGGACTTTTAACCTTTCTTGTTGCTTTACAAGGCTTTGGTGACTTATTTTCCTCAACTTTTCGCTTTGTCCTCTTTGTTTTTGTTTTCCTTTCATCAGATGAAGTAGAGCTTTTCAATTTCTGTTTAATCTTTTTGTTCTGATTTGGCTGCCTTGGTTTTTTCACTACATTCTCCTTTTTCTCTATGGAAGACTCTGACACTTCACTTGGAGAGTGAAGATCTTTTTGTTTTTGACATCTCCTCCTCTTTTGTGGTAGTAAAGCAAAATTTTTCATTGAGTATGATGACATACTTTTCATCACAGTGGCATCCCCTCTCTCTGGAGCCAACCATGCATCATCTTTTGGGATGGTCACATTCTCTGTACCATGCATTCTCTGTAATTTCTCAGACAGTACATTCATACACCTCTCCACTCCATCCTGGATATTGGGATTGGGACTAACAATAGATTCAGCTCCAGATGAAAGAGATTCCGTCAATGGTGTGATAGATAAGGAATCTGTGTCAGAAGATTGCTTTTCATCAGAAACTTTTCTTTCCTCTGGATCTAAACCTTGCCCTCTGTTCTTTCTAACAGACCCTGTCCTGGAGGTAGATTTAGGGGAGTCTGCTTTGTTCTTTTTAGGTGTTTTCTTGGCTTCCTGGAGCTTATGTTCCACCAGAACTTCATTCATTTGAGGAGTGATTAGAAACTCTGTTTTCTGCCTTTCTCCTGTCTGAGGTGTAGTTACAGCTACAGGGGAATTTTTAAATCCCTCAGTCAAGGGAGATAGCAATTTACCATCATCATTTTTTACTTTTAATTGTTTGGCTCCCTTTTTCTTCTTTATCACTCTGTTAGGTGGAATCTTAAAATCTGATATTTTTTCATTAGATTGTTGAATGCTCTCATTAGTTGTCTCATTCACACTGGCCAGTTTCCAATTTTCAGGGATGTACCTATTTTGGTTAGCATAAATATCCTCTTCCTCAACACACAATCCATAGCTGGCTATTTTTTCAAAGTCATACATGTCTTCGTCTGTTCTGCATAACAACTGTACACCGTTGTCTTCATCATCAGAGTTAGCTGTGTTGAAGTCACCTGAATTGGTCTGGGATAACAATGTGGATGATAACTCATTTTGAGGAGACCCAAATGATACTCTGTTCTTTGCTTTTAGCCTTGGAGCATCTCTGAAAAAATATATATTACATGAATTAAGAAAATATTTTGTAAAAATATATTTCGGGATATGAGGTTTAACAGAAATTTATTAATAACAAAACTATACAAATTTCCAATAAAAAAAAACTTCATACAACTAAACTTACCCGCTTGGCTTCAAAATTCCTTGTACCTCCTTTTGCTTCTTTGTCGATTTGGCCTTTTTCCTATCATTTGAATTTGGAGGTGAGGAATCACTCCAAAGATCTGTTGAACCTAGACTTGGTCGTCCTTTCCAAGGTACTGTCTTCCTACCTTGATTTTTTTGGACATCTATTTTAGCGTCTGTGCTATATCTACTCTTGCTAAATGCTTCCCTTGTTTCACTTACTGAATCCTCAGAATTTTCAATTTGTGGCATTATCTTATTTTCTGTTTGGCTTTCAACAAGGATCTGCTTTAAAACTGGTGAAATATCTTTATCTCCACTGTCTTTGATGCCTTTTGTTGCTATCATACTTGTAGAATTCTGAGAAACTTGGATGGTTTGAGGTTTCTTCTGTTGTTTCACTGGAACATTCTTTTTAAATTTAGGTGGTGATAATACTGTCTTTGTGTAACATTGCTTTTCTGTAATATCCATTTTTTTCCAAAGCTGTTTTATCTTAAGATTAATTTGAGATTTGCTCAAAAATGGGTATTTCACCTGCAATTTAGCTTTTTGTTCATTGCAAAATACTTTAAAACTGATTTTCTGAGTTGTACAGGCTCTCTTATCCATTATTTTTGGAACCTGCAATGCAAATTAAGTTTTTTTTCAAATTACATTTTCAACAGTAAAATACTGTATTTTATTAATTGAATAAAAGTGATATTCTGTCACGGTGTGAAAGAATATCAAAGTGATATATATATATTGACACACAGAGTGAAAGAATATCAGAAGTGCGACAAGACTCAAGATTTTCCTTCCCACCACAAGAAGCATTGTAAAAATACTCCTGGGCCTGTTATATGATAGAGAGAGAGAAAATAAACCATCCTGACAGAGACTTAAACTGCCAAAGTTTCTTCAAATATGTTGATGAAATCCATGTTTACAATGTTTTTAACCTCACAATCACTACACTATGAAGTCTCAACCACTTAACTATGATGTCACGGCCTATGACACTGTGCTACAAAAAGACAGTGGCAAAGGGAAAAATCAAAGAAAATGTAATACAGAAAATAAATATTTGGTGGTTGAATATGGAATTTATTTCACTCATGAGATAGGATTTTTTTATATTTTCACTTGTTTTGCACTTGTGAAGTTTAAAAAAAAAATCCTGTCCCACTCCCAAAATACTGTATACCAACTTTTATTCGTGTCAGAAATATCTGTGAGTTTTGCGACCTACTTTAACTCGCAAACAAAAATCACCACGAACCATTTATTTTGCTTTGTATTTGTAGAGAATGTTTCCTCAGTTATGAAAATTAAACTCCGCTGATTGATTTCAAACTGACGAATCACAAATAAAAGATGATGGGAGTATTTTTAAATTCTTTATCCAACTACAAAACATTGAATATCCTCTATTTATACAATTCTAGTACTTGATCTCTCTTTAAACAAAAACATTGCATTCTGTTTTGCAGCTGTGTATCAAAGAAAATGTTAACTTTACTTGCAATACAGACTGTGTGCTTCAAAATCTCTGATCATCAAGGGTTTGTGTCAGTGATCCTGGGGTCACTCAGACATGAAGTCAAAACCTTTGCATCTGAAAAAAAGGGATGATATCAAGGATTCCTCTAAATGTACCTTCTACTACCCTGTTATCATTTTCAAGCCTATAGGTACAGTTAAACTTAGTACATGTATCTCTAATACTGATATCTCGAACACCATGGATATGTCCAAGTGATCTGGAAGTCCCAACTACTTATTCTTTAAGTATTTTACCCTCGATATCTCAAATCCTTGGATATCTCGAAGTTTTTTGGGGGGTCCCATCAAGTTTGAGATAACGAGGTTTGGCTGTATTTCAAATCTTGGCTTTTTTTAAGACCGTAAATGTAACTTTGGACTGAGTGAACCCTCTCTTACCATGAAGTTAATCAGAAAAAGACTGGTAATATGTACACATAAGTCTGTTTCATCTTAATTAAGGTATGTCATATGTGCATCAGTGATCACTGTAAGCTATTGAAATAGCAATATAGATGTAGAGTAATAGCAGTCTCACACTAAACAAATGCTCTGGTAGGTGCATACATAGGTGCAACATTTACATGTATGCATGCTAGGTCTGGGTACGATTTTTAGTTACTTGAGAATGCACTTGCTCCAAAAGCTTTTTCTTGTCAATTAACTAGGAAAAAAGTAAGATTCAGCATCCGACCAAAGTTCGGTGTGCATCTATAGATGCATCATCCATGCAAGATTGAATAGCATAGGGCTTATATTAAATCTGGGAATAAACCTCTTTAAAACTTTCATTTGGTAATTCATTCATAAAATGTAGGTCAGATCCAGAATCAGAAGCAAGTGTAGTATCTTTTGTCCCTAGATGAAGTTAGGGAGGTCAATTTATATTGATACAAATTGTTCTGAATTTCCTCAAATATCTCTTTTGTATCTCTTCGAAATTTATCACAAATTATTTATAATTAACATTCTCTTGTGATTTCTTATCTGTTTTCAAAATGTCTTGAAAAAATTAAGTACCCCCAAAAATGGCATCATTGGCAATACAAGCAATTTCTAATAGGGCTATATAGGAAACACAATTCTCTGATATCTTGCACAAATGTCTGGTAAGGCACCTAAATTTTTTGTGTGGAAATTCATTTATAAAGTAGCAATACCATGAATACTGTATACAGGGAAATTTTATCCCCTTTCGCCCAAATCACAGGTGGGCGAATTTCAAAAGGGGCGAATTCAAAGAACGCCGACGGTAATACATTAGCTCCCCCATCTTCGTAGAGCCGAGCTAAAAACTAATTTATAGCCAATAAAAAAAAATGCTGTGTACAATCTTTGTGCATGATGGAAGGTGTGTTCATCAAAGTGCAAATTGAGAAAAATAATGGTCTCATTGTTAATCAGTTCTGATTACATTGAATTTAAAATTTCAACATTTCCATCCAACAAAAGATTTAAAGTATTTCATACAGTTCTAATCTAACATGCAATATTTTTGATAGTCCTAACCCTTAAGTTAATTTTTACCGCCTTCTTTGACTTGGCAGGATTTCGCGCTTGAACTCTCGCGAGATTTCGGTCAATGACGTCACAGTGTTGCTATCAAACAACTGTGGAAATGATGAACAGGTGAAATAGAGTATTATCAATAATTATGGCATCAGTGATCAAAACGAGTGCAGGTGAGAGGGTCGATTTTGATTTTTTCGATACACCTAGAAACAAACTTGACGAATCTTTGGAATCGTTAAACGAGGACAACAGAATTTTCGAAGTGCCTCCGGATGAAAAGGGCAGTGAAAAACATGGCGACGTAAGCTTCAGGGCCAAAGAAAAGAAATATTCTAGTTCAGAATCGAGTGGCAGTGAGGTTGACAGTGATATAGAGTCTGAATCAGATATATCATACAGCTCTGGTGGTTCTACATCACGAGTACAGACTAAAAACAAGGGAAAGAAGAGTATACGAAAGGCAGATTCAGATAGTTACTCGAGCGATTCTAGTGCTTATTCAGATGAATCTTCTGGTGAGGAAAGCAGAATCATTGAGGAGGAACGAAAGAAATCTCAGAAGAAAGGGTCAAGATATAACCGACCTGATGACAAATCTAAAGAAGCATGGGGACATGGGATTGAGAGGATAAATATAACAAAGAAAACACCATCTTCTGAAGATCTATCAAATCAAAGGAAAGATAGGAAGTCAGCTAGTGGTAAGTCAGGTTCAGACAGTGAAATGACTGATGTTTCTCCACTGCCATCACCAAGAGATTTAGACAATGGACATGTGCAATATTCTAATCAAGTTAATCATGACTCTGGTGAGGTTCAACTTCAGAGCAAACAGCTTGACTTAAGCATATTAATGGAAGCTGTGTCAGAAATTGATAAACAGCAACGAATAAAGAGTAATAGAAGGGTCATGTTTGAGCCCCCTAAACCTCAGAGTGCTGAAAAGTCTAACTTCACTTTTGATACTCAGAGAGTAAAGTTTATTGAGAAAGAAAACCAAAGACTTTTGAAAGAAATTATGAGGCATATAGGACCAAATCAAGGAAAGAAGAAAGGGCCACGTGATCATACACTAAGTGTGCAGCGCATAACTCCTTCAGCAATTAACAGACAAAGGGAACAGAGAAGAATAGAAATGGAAAACATGGTAACTATCATTGATATTAACCTGCTAGTACTTTGTTGTAATTTATACAGTACATTTATTGTAGTTGGTAAAACAAATATCCATTTCTATTTTGCATGCTGCTTGTTCATGAGAGTATGTATTGGAATAGCAGGGTTGTCCCTAAGATCTGGGGGCTGGGGAATTTCCCCGCCTATAATGACATAATCCCCCGGTTACTTTGGTATTCCTCCTCACTCCCCTGTTAGGAGAGGAACCCCAGATCGATCTCCTCCTACTCTTTTAAAGTTCCCTGCTATTTTAATTCTTAGGGACAACCCTGGTATAGACTGCTGATTGTTATTATCTTTTTCAGAAACTATTGAAAATAAGAAAACATAACATAATAAATGATAAGGCATGCTGTACCAGTGATATAAATTAGTGCTACATTACCCTAGGAATAAACTTCTGATTATTAATATAGGTAAAAAGGTTAGGAAATATTGAACTGTGCTACAACTTTTATATTTCTTGTGTTTATTCATATACATAATTGACTTGTTTGGAATTCTAATTAATTTTGTTTAATGCAGTGGTAGAAGAACAACATGTACCTTTAGCTATTTAAAAAAAAAATCATTAATACCTAGCTTGTACATACATGGTCAGTATTTATTTCTGCACAATTACTAAGTTAATTCGATGAATTTTAATTTTGGCTTCGAAGAGCTTAAGGGATCATAAGATCTATTCTTCTCATAGTTAAATTGAAATACCTTGTTTACATTTCCTATTCTTTAGATAAAAGACTTTAACACCTTGATAAAGAGAATACAGTTTTGAATGTTGAGGAAAGGACTTGGTCTATAGTGCAAAATTGATTATCACTTTTTTGCTGCAAAAGAGTATCAGATTCTATTCATTCTATATATATATCAAAAAAAAGAGAAATGTGCATTTGAATGCAGAGCAACGAAGGCAGTCAAGTAATCATTAAAGCAAACATGTGTATTTATTGTAGAAAAGCAGATTCAATATGGATATATAGAAAATATGCTTCTCCTCTTAAGGGATTTAATGAAAGAAAAACTTTTTTTCTGAGCATATATTTTCTTATGTGATTTGGTTCTTATCCAACCACTAAGAATATATAAACATGTATTTTCATGTCCAAATTTTATGAGTCACTACACTTACGGTACATTACTTGTATTGCAGAATTCATTTTCTTTTTTCAGTGGATTAGATAGCAATTCAAGTTTACCAAGGCATCATCACTGTTGCTGTGATGGCAGCATGTCTTGTAAAATAATTGAGGACATTTCACAGAATCTTTGTAATTTATGACTGATCAATTTAAATAAGTGTGGAAACCAATTGTCTGTTCCATCAATGCAAAATGAGTTCAATACAAAATGAGTTCTGATGAATCTAAATGGCCTAAATTACCTCATGCTTATAGTTTCTAAATCAATAACTCTACAGACATGCTGGACAACCTAAGATATATTAATTGCTGGGTAAATAGGAACTATATTTGAACAGTATGCTGTTGTGGTAATCGATTTTAGGAAGATATAAACATATATCAACCTGTCAATCCATGGATTTAAAAAGGTTTTAAAAGGATCAAGAAGGTCCTTAGGTTGATTTAGTGTAGGTATACAAGTGCTTTATATTGGACATGCTTTAATAGACAGAATTTGTATATGTACATTATAAATACACTTCTTCTAGTCAACTAAAGGCCAGTAAAGGGAGTATTAAAAGGGGGGAGTTAATTAGAATGTGACTGCATGCATATAGATTCTGGAGTAAGTCCCAAATGTATTACATACTTATACTGTACAATATACATACCGGTACATGTACTGTTTGTATTGACATACAATGTTCAAACCTAAGAGGGTTTTTTGTCACCTGTTGTCATAGTAATGCCATGATAACTGGGATTTGTTGCTTCACTATTGGCAAAAAAATTAGTTCCATTACTACTCCATCAGTGTCATTATATGAGTGGTGATTAAAAGATTTATACCTGAGTAAATTTGCAGTGTAGCCTCAATTTCCTTAATATTTGCTGAACATGACAATTTAGTGCTGGGGAGGTACATCTGGGAATAGATTAATACATTTTAGTTGCAGATCTATATTCCAATTAAATGTTGAATCATTTGGTTGACAGGTACAAATAAAATCAATATACAGACAGACATTCTATGTTCCACAATTTATTTATTCATTTTTTAGCTTTAATTTTAACTGGAATAAAAAGGTAAAAAAAAAAAAAAAAAAAAAAAAAGAACAGAATTTGACAAAAATAATAGTAATATCCTGTAAATGTATTACAGCATGGGGAATTTTTCATGGATTTGATAGTATAAAATATTTTGCATTTGATTAATTTTATTTTCCTTTTTCTAGCAATTCTTGCAAAGACTGCAACACACAGGCCCAACCAAAGGCTTATCACGAAAGGAACAGCTCAAAGATTACAAGCACACATTGCTTCATGGAGTTCCAATAGCAGCCATGCACAGCTCACCTGTCTCAAACCAAACCTTTGTGGGTGGAAATACAGCCCTTGGCTCTACCATGGGAAGCACAGGTCAAAGGTCAAGGCCAAGTAGTGCTAAATCTAATGCAAGCACAATTAGATCTCGCCCTGGGAGTGCAAAATCCATAGCCAGTAGTATTGTCAGTCGCCCATGCAGTGCAAAATCCACTTCAAGATCTATCCATAATCGCCCTGCCTGGAATGACCGTTTTGCTTACTCTTAGGATTTGAATACAAATGTAATACTGTGAGATGTTGAACTGCATATCTTTTTTCCTCTTGTAATGGAAATTTTTCTGATAAGTTTTTGGTTTACATAGAGAGGTGTGGAATATAAGGAACACCAGAATGCTCAGAGAGTTTTTTTTTTATGTACAAGGTACAGCTCAATTGTTATTATTAATAAGATGATCTTATGAAGAAGATTCTGCATTCACATATTGTAATATGATATGTAATCTTGCCCTGCAAGTACAAAATTCACAGCCAGTAGTGTGCAAAATCTACTCCAAGGTGTCCAGCCTGAAAATGACCTCTTTCCTCATTCTTGAGATAAAAAAAAATTAATTTATCTTTCATATGTTGAACTACATTTGAAAAGTTTCATCTTCATGAATGAAACATGATCTTCTTTGATGAGGTTTTTGTTTATACAGAGAGGTGGGAAAATATAAAATGCTCAGAATTTTTTTATGAATGTACAAGGTTCATAATGCAGCTCGGTTGTTATCAAATTGATAATTATTGGAAAGACGGTTTTGCATTTACTGAATATGACATGGTTTATTAATGTCCTCGGATGTCTCAAGTATTATTTTTGATGTTTAAAGAGGTGAAGAACCCTCAATGCAATGAACATTTGCTGTCACCATAATTTTCATCATAAGAATGAATTACATTTTTCCTGTTTTGAAAAGTTCCAGAATTTGTTGTTTTTTGACATTGATTTTCAATTCATCGTGGTCAAATTTTATAAAAAGCATTTATGTAGTTAATAGCTTAGTTTGGTGCAAGTTGACATCTGAGGAATTATTACTTGTGTGTATATGTCATTTTTTTTTTAAATTTCATTTAGGAAATTTTGCAAAGAATTCTATTGTGTAGAGCAGCTTCAGAAGATTGATGATCACTACAATGTTTGTATTTTAAATTAATCAAGTGCTTAATGTAAGTAATGGACTGAGAAAAATTGGGAGTTTTTATGTAGACTGTAAAACTGTTTACAGAATTTGGATATTGTTAACTCATTGTAATGTAGGATGATGAATCCATGTTGTATGTCTTTCATTTTATAGGGCTGTCATTGATAGATTTGATGTAGAGATGTTATCTAGTATTATAAAATGCTTTGATACATTATACCTTTATTGGGAATGGAAACATTACAGATATTTAATACATGTAATTCAACTGATAATTAGCTGTAGGTTTATAAAATATGGAGTAAATAATGTAAAACATGCACTCATTTGCATATTATATGGTTGTTATATTATGTTCCATTTAGCTAAAAGCTGTATGGAGTGATGTTTGAAACTAATTTGTACTTAAATACCTTGTAATGGAAAATTATACATATAAGTCTGCTTAATTTCAGTACATATTATTTGAATTTATGAATACTTTTGCTGTAGAAGTTTTGTTAATTGATATATTAATGTTGAAATTCTGTCAGTGATAGCCCTATTTTTATTTTATACATTTTGTACATGTCACACACTGTTTGCTCAGATTTTTATAAATATATGGTTGTCAGAATCATGTTTTGTGATGATGGTGTAGTTTACCAGGGTAAGGGACTTAACTCTGTAAATATTTCTGTGAGTAGAGACAGCTTACATAGAGAAATAAAAAAAATCATTGAATTATTCATCATTTGTGAATAGTAAACCATAGCAAAGGATTTTTTTTCAATAAAAAAGTACTAATAACATAGTTTCTAATTTCCTCTTCCAACTCCTAATGCAAACTTATCAAACTGAAAAGAAAAAAAAAAAAAAAAAAGGAAAATGCTTAACATGTACTTTTGGAGGAGCTGTGCTTTTTCAAACTGCGCTATTCTGCATGAGAAAAATTGACCTTGGTGGCCCACTAAAGTAAAACATCGTTATTATAAACTTAACAGATATAAAAAAAAATTACATTTATAATTGTAGAAGTTCGGGCTATACGGACCATGGATATCGGCCTGGGTAGCTCAGTGGTAGAGCACCTGACTAATAATACAGGGGTCCCAGGTTCGATTCCTGGTCCAGCCAAATATTTTCTTCATGCATTCCTCCTTTTCTACTATATTACTTCTCAGAAGTTCAAGCTATACAGACCATGGATATCGGCCTGGGTAGCTCAGTGGTAGAGCACCTGACTAGTAATAGAGGGGTCCCGGGTTCGATTCCCGGTCCAGCCATATATTTTCTTCATGCATTCCTCCTTTCCTACTACATTTGGTGGCCAGTGTGGGGTACCTTGTTCAGGTTATGTGTAAATTAGTAAGTCCTGACAGGGCCCGTAAACTTGTGTCTTCGAGGTCGAAGACTGTTTAAGGAGGGAGGAATATAGAAGTTCAAGCTATATGGACCATGGATATTGGCCTAGGTAGCTCAGTGGAAGAGCACCTGACTAGTAATTAGGGCTGTGTATTGAGCAAAATATTTTGATACAATACGCTACAATATTTTATACAGCGAAATGCAATATATTGGATTCTTTAGCAAGTCTAGCAAAAAGTCTTTTAAATTATTTATTGCATAAATTTGATAAAAACTAGGTGTTTTATTACCAAATTGGAAGTTCATGTCTCACTGTCTTTACAAAGTACACTTCAAATTCAAACTTTTAATGACTTTAAAACTAACATGTTAAAATATAGTTGTCTTTGTATTTTTAATAGTTATTTAAAATATGCTATCTCCTTAATGTTTATTTCATTATTGATCAGTTTTAATTCAAAACAGTTAAAAATAACCTTTGGTGACTGAAATTCCCAACTTTTTCACAGAAAAACTGCCTGCCCGATACGTATTGGAAGTTATTTTTTCGATACGATACATTCCAGAATATCGATACATATTGATTAATCAATATATTGACACAGATCTACTAGTAATAGAGGGGTCCAGGTCCAGCCATATATTTTCATACATTCCTCCTTACCTAATACATATTAATGAATCTAAATTGTTGTCCTGGCACTTTGCTGCGATTGTCTTTTACTTCAATATCTGTCCCTGTCAGTCCTCATGCATCGTTGGTCAATTTTTTCTAACATTTTCTGCTGCTTCTCTCAAGCAGCTTGTCCCACTAATTTATGTATTGCTTATATGTGATTAAACAACAAAAAAAACTCCTATTTTAAGATATTTGCCTTAATGAGTTTGATTTAAACCCATCAAAATCCCTACCCCTCTATTGAGCTTGTCAAAACCTGTCACAGTTCCTCCCATACCAGTATACATCTTGAGGAAATATTATGATGCATCCTGGGCCTGTCATCAGGTGGATCCTCTCTAATTGGTTTGTTTTGGTGCTGTCCACTACAACCTCCGACTGAGTCCCAGGCTTGAACCACTCAGCACTCCACCCTTGTTCATAAAAACTCTGTTGCAACACTCATCAGACGTCTGGGTAGCAAAGCAGAAATGGGTATAAAGGTGGGTAATGAATAACAGTGGAAAGTGCAATTCTATAGATGCTGTATTTGTGTGTAGACAGTTACACAAACACAGCATCTATAGCGTTGCACTTTCCAATGTTCTTCGCGTTTCTTCATTACCCACCTGTTAGTCTGTATACCCATTTCTGCTTCGCTATTCAGACCTCTGATGAGTTGCTGTCTCAAAGTGCCTGTTACTTCTATAATGGGCAAGACTCTCTACACGAATTGCCCCAAAATCCTCAGTATCCAACTTCCTATGGAAGACCCCATATTCTCCAGACTTGGTGACCATCTGCAACCAGGTCCTAGTACTTGCTCAGCTTCTGCTCATGGCTTCTTCTCTGTCCTCCTACGGCACTGTAAGTTCAAGCAGAATAACCATTTAGATAATGGAGACCAAATAACAATATCAGGTCTCTGGTTGGTAGTTGCTATTCCCTGTGGGAACTGCTTATGACCATTAAGATCTGTTTGCAACTGTCATTCATTGACGAACTTCAGTCCTTCTTTGTTCTTCTTGGGTTTCTTCCTTCCTTTTTCCATTGCATCTGCAAGAACAGATAGAACCTTGTCATATATTGTGTATCTTCCATCTTTCAAAGGTACTGGACATGAAGACAGAATGTGTTCTGGTTTGGCTGGTTTATCACAAAGTTTGAAGTTTGGGTCGTCCCTTTTGCCGCATGTTGCCAGATTGGGTTGGGTAGACAAGACATCATAAATGGACTGAAGCTGGAATTGCAGTGTTGGGGCTTTGTCCGAATATCATTCTAAGATAACTTCTTCTGTCAAGCTCTTTCCCAGTTGAGCCAGCTTCCCTGCTTCTTCATGACAACTGCAAACCTCCTTCTGTACCAAATGTCTCCTCTCCACTTGGGACACTGTACTGCTGCTTACTCTTGATATTATACATAATCCTTGCCTGCCTATTGCTACACTTCCCACGACATCAACATGCCTCAGGCATTACTCTGCCTCTTGCACTATCTACTGACCACTATCTTCCAGTCTGAATGTTCACTCTTGTACTTTGAAATCTTTGCTGTCTCACAGCATCAGGAACTGTCTGACCATGGTGACTTTAAACTTCTCCACAATATATGTCAACAGTAGTTGTAGCCTAATGTTGTATAAACCGATACCATTGAAGCTTCTGGGAACTGCAAGCCATCTTCTAAGGCAACCATTTATCAGTTGCTCAATTGATTCCACTCATGTTAACAAGTAGAGGCAATAGAACTAGAGGAAGAACACCGTGCTGGTATATTTCTCTAGCAAAGCATTTTTGTCTATGGTGTTTATCCAGTTTTCCATTGTAGCAGGTATCACTCACATTCTGCTTGTACCCCAGTGAGTCATCTAAGAACTTTCCCAAGCATTTGAACTTCTCTCCAGTCAATTTTCCATTCTTCAATAAAAGGCCTCTAGACTTTGTCGGCTTGCTCTTCAAAAGAGCCTAACTGATGATGTCCTCAATTTTCTTCAACATCCATCTTGCTTTTAAAATGGTCTTTGTGCCTACTGTTATATTGTCCATGAATGATCTGATAGGGGGATGTATCACTCCTATCTTCATCCATAGGCCTCTGTTCATCTTTTTGACCAACTCCATTATGTTCATAGCTGCTGAGAACAAGATCATTGAAACTGTACAGTCTTTGACAATTCCAACCTCTAAGTCCATGATGTGAAGTCTTGAGTTGTGATACTTAATTGCAGCTTAATTGCTGCTCCTCGAAATAACTCTTAACCAGCATCCATATCTTATCTGGTATATGTTATCGCTGTAGTGTAAGTTGGACTAGTTTATGATGTATGGAACTATATTTGGATATGTTTTTTTTTTTTTTTTACTAGAGAAAGATATTAAGAGCAAACTAGCAACTAATTAGAATTTTATGATAAATGATAACTTCACCTTTTCTATCGTCAGTTTCCCTTATTTATGTAGCAATATGCCATCATCACCTACATATGGATTTTATTTCTCCAAGTTGATTCGATGCGCAAGAGCATGTTCTACGTATGAACAATTTGTAAAACTTGTTGAGCTATTGACAAATACGTTGATGAAACAAGGATATCAGCAGACTCGTGTAAGGTCAAAATTTCGCAAATTTTATGGTCGATGCAATGACCTTGTTAGAAAATACAATCTATCGTTAATTAAGTCGAGTGTTGACTAACGTTTTTCATACAAATTGTGTGGCCATTGTTTTCATACTGAATTGTCTACGGATTTTTCCGTTCACCCGATCATGACAAGGGGCACACGGCGGGTGTGACCGGTCGACAGAGGATGCTTATTCCTCCATGGCACCTAATTCCGCCTCTGATGTTTTTAAAGGTCCGTGTTTCCTCTGCTCCAAATAAGTATTGTTTCCATGGACTTTTAAGTTTGATTAAACTGTTCGATTTTTATGCCCTATGTGCCTCCGGGTGCAACAAGGACCAGGTAGGTAAGGTAGATATCTGTTCGATATCTTCATTATTTCAATGGCTAGATCCAACAGTATGATTTCCAGTTCACTTTTCACCTCTTTTCCTTCCTTATGAATTGTGTTAGAACACTTGTATGTTCTATGCATCCTTAAACTCCGGTACTCTTCTTTTCTCTTTGAATGTTTCACGTCCCTTTCAAGATTTTTTCACTCATATTGAGACACCCACACTTGCCGGTGAAGGGCTGCATATTTTAGACCTATACTTGGCTCTCATGGCCATTGAGCAGTGAAGGATATTTTTCTTGCCACCACCTACTGCGACACGGGACGTCGGTCTCATCCGAAGGACCGGTCTCCACGTGCCGCAGTGGGATTCGAACCCGCATATAGCAGTTTTATAGCTAGTCACCCTCTTAGCCAAAATAGCTTGAAAAACCTTCCTTTCAATGTTCACCATTGAGATGGTATGGAACTGCTTTTTTCTCTTTTGCGATGAAGCATCCCTCAGCTTGGTGCCAACCATTAGATCACTTTTGAAAATATCTAACGGACAGGCTATTTGCACGATCATAATGAGCAACAATCTCTTAACATACAGTATGTGAAAGTCAAAGACCCGTGATTCCAGGATGCTGTCACGTTGACCACTGTTGATAATGCATGAAAAGTTCCTTGTTTCAATTACAAATGTTCTTGACTTTGGAACTTTTCTGACAAACTGCAAAGTTTACATGTTAATAATGAACAATGAGTCCTCTAGCAATATTGTGAAATTCAAGAACACTTTCAAGGGTTCCTCACCATGGCAGGGCAGAGATGTATCATGATATAAATTTTGAATTTACTAGAAGGAGGTACAGTCCCTGAAACGTTCTACTTTCCCATTTTTCCGTTCGCTCACCGTTCGTTCACCGTTCGTTCAGCGTGCGTTCACCATTCGTTCACCGTGCGTTCACCGTTCGCTCTCCGTTCACAGTTTTGCGTTCACCGTTCACCGTGCGCTCGCGTTCACCGTTCACAAAGCGTTCAGCGTTCGCTCTTCGTTCCGTTCACTTTGCGTTCACCTTGCGTTCAGCGTTCACCTTTCGTTCAGTTTTGATTGTCATTCGGAACTCCGAAGTGAAAGGACTTATCTTTTTGTAGGTAAGGAGTTACAGTTTTTTTTTTAAATTTAATAACTAACATATCGTGTTTGAAGAATCATTATTTAATGGGGGAAAATGTCTACGATATATATATTTATTATTCTAACTTAGCTGTTCGGTTATTTATTAAATTACTCTGGAAAATAAATGTTGTTATAAGCACATTCTGTACCTATGTAGACCGATGCTGAAATATTAAATTTAACTAAGGGCAATGTGCAAATACTTCAAGCTCTGCAACAATTTGTTGTTTTGTTAAATTAAATGTTTGTGATATAATTATCCAAGTAAAATAATTAGGCAGCAAAATTACGAAAATATTTATTTCTTACACCTTTTTTTTTCAATTACTATAGAAAATATGATAGAACTAGTTCTGAGAGTTATACATAGTACTGCGGATATCCTGTTAATTTATTATCTTTGGAGCGAATGAAATTGATAGTGTGGTTAAAGGAAATATTTATTTAAAATGTAATGCACTACAGAATTTTCTCTACTATAATATGTTAAGTTTATAGTTATAGAGAAAAAAATTCTTTCTTCATCGTAACTTTATATGTTGGCCATTCGATATGATTAATACCCCCCCCCTTTCCCCCTAAATCGGTTACTTAGACAGTACTGTATTTCCAGAATATTTTAATTAACATTTTAAAAAAAAAAAGTTAAGGTCTTTTTTAGAACAAAAATTTCAGTCTCAAAACAAACATGCATCTAAAAAAAGTCACAAAACAATAGTAGTTCAAAATGTACACATGTCGGCGGTGGTATTTGAAATTGGCAGAGAGTATGTTTCAAATTCAAGTGTTAATGCCCAATGTATTTTATTCATTTATTATCTAAATGTTGGAATCAAATCTAGAAATGATAAAAATAAATGTTATAACTTGTTGGAAATACTCGCACTTCGCCTTCGATGTGACGAAACTTTCACACCTGCACAGTGTCGAATGATTTTGATTGACAGCACAAGCACGTGGACTTCGTGTGAACTTGAAGCAGGAAAATAAAAACGAGTATGACTGTCAAACAAATGGATATGATTTGTTGATTAAAAAAAAGTTACTTTCACTGTCTGATATATTTAGAAAAAAAATTCAGAGATTTTGTTTGATATAGGTACAAACATTTAGTAAAGCCTGAAAGGAGGGGGGGGGGGGGGCTAAAACGGAATCTCTCTCTCTCTCTCTCTCTTTCTCTCTCTCTCATTTGTCTGTTTAATAAACACTATAACAGCATATTACTTAAATATCAAGTTCTGAAAATTGAATTTATAACAAATAATATGAATATGCATCTTTGTATTATCTTGTCCGAGTATAATCACGGCCATCTACAGATACATGTAGAAGTCTGCTCAATAAATCATCATGAAAAATAGAGAAGTGACACAATATATTATTGTATTAAACATTTAAAATACGAGCGTATAAATGCAAAACGTCCACTGACCTTTGTAATTATTATTTTTTTTTCATTACTTTACACGAAATCGCATTGACACAGAGATATATGAATGAATGTTACAACTGCTTTAATTCATTCTGTAAGTCAGAAGTTTTCTCTGATTTGTTATCAAATAAGAATAAACATTTTTATTTTCCAACTAAAAAAACATCTTTTATACTTCAGCGTTCGGCAACAATTACAATGTTTTAATGCGATAAAAATCGTGTGATTAAAAACTTAATGTGCATGCATCGTCTTTCTTAGGACAATTTTGGAGAATTTATTTTATTGACTTATTTATTCATTCATTTATTGGTTTACCTATTTATTATTTATTTATTTATTATTATTATTATTATTACTATTATTTTGCACCTAACATTATAATACAATAAAATAGTTTCAATGCAAGGAAAAGATCAGAGGCATTCCGAATATATCGTTCATCTTGCGTTCACCGTTCGTTCACCGTTCACTTTGAGTTCGCGTTTGCGCTCCGTTCGCGCTCTGCGTTCGCTCACCGTTCACCGTTCACACATCGTTCACCAAGTTGCGTTCAGCGTTCACACATCGTTCACTCACCGTTCGCTCTGCGTTCGTTCAGCGTTCGTTCACCGTTCGTTCAGCGTTCGCTCACCGTTCAAGTGGGAAAGTAGAACGTTTCAGGGACTGTAAATGCAAAATTTACATGATAATATACCTCTCCCTAGTAAATTCAAAATTTACAACATGATAGATGATTCAATGAAATTTGAATACCTTACTCCTTTTGAGTTGATTGTCTATAAAGAATTAACCCCGGAAACAGCGTCTCATAGAGAAATTTTGTTAAATATGTATCCCCTACAGTGGCAAGATTTAATTAAGAATTTCTTGATTCCACTTATCTACTAAATTTACTTTTAACTGTTAAAATTGTTTCTATTTTTTTTTTTTAAATATCAGCCCTACCCAGCTGCTATCCTAAACCTGTTAAATGGGAATCTAGATCTGTCGGTGCAAGACAAGGATTTGGGATCCAGGGGTTGTTTTGTATATTTAGGTTTATTAATTAAAATTTTGTTAATTTAAGCACCACATGTAAATGGAACTGGGATCCCTGGTGTGGATTATTAAGTAAGACACCTACAATTTATTCGATCGGACGACAGTCTTATGTAAACACTGGTAAACGGAGGGCGAAAATGGAAAACCACCCTGTAAGTAATATCAGTACCTTAATTTAAAATAAAGAGTAATTTTAAATTCTTTAAAGTATGATCATGGAATAACAGTTATTCTTCAAATCCCCCCCCCCCTTACGAGTCACTGCATTCATACACCAGGCACTTGTTTTTGTAATAAAGTTTACTCCCATCAGGGACATATATACACAATAGAATATAGTATATACCAATGTATACGTCCCTGTCCCATACTAGTATTATATTAAATAATGATAATACAGAAAGCTCATAGAGTTGGGATATATATTTGAACTGATTGTTTTATGTTTATTGAATTAGTTTACATGTATTTTATTCAGTGTTACATTTTTCACTGTTTTTGATTAATATTTACCAGTTTACTGAGTTAAAAATTATTAGTGTCGGTAATGATTTATTTATTTATAAATTTATTTATTGGCAAAAAGCATGCATATGTGGAGCAAGTATGCAGTAGATCTATACAAATAAAGTCTGACACGTATTTTTTTTTTATAGAATATATCGACTAAGATAGAATCATGGACGTATATCCTAGTAAATACGTCCCAGACAGTATTGAAGATTAAAATAGGTAATTTCATATTCTTAAATGATGCATAATTAATAAATTCTACATTCTGTGGTCCGCCTCTTTCACCTATTCACTGTAGTAATATTTCTTTTGAGCGTGTAGTAAGACAGTAAATAATACTATGCAGTGGCAGTGAGCAGTTGACTGTCGTATGAATACCATAAGTCATAGTCCTCCTTTTTTTTTTTTAGAAAATCGCCCACATATGATCCACCCACATATTTGCTGAGGATTCCCCAAACCAACCTCGATTTGATTTTGCAATGTTGTGAAAACGAGGCAACTAGGTCATATGCGAAAAAATAAACAGTGGAGGGAAACTCTTGCGAATTTGATCATGTTGATCATTATGTCTTAGCAATCCAGTAGAATTCTTCTAGTTTTTGACTTTATTCCGCCATGAGTATGCTAAACCAAGCAGCAGTAGAAGCCCTTTGTTCGGCAACGTATTTGGAGAACTATCTCGATACTATGGAAAATTTGCCTGACGATCTGCAGCGAGTTGTTACACAAATGCGCGAGTTGGATATCCAGTGTAGAGGTAATTTCTTTCATTCACATAATTTTTCTTTATGATATAGTTGTAAATAAGATATACCTTTTTGCGTTCATTTTGGTTTTACAGATTAAAATGTTTGGTTCGTTGATGGTTCGAATTTCCTCTATATTGAATGTAAACAAGATGAAAATTGTATGATTTATCGGTAGTACATAATATATTTGTGTGATATTAAAACCTTATGAGGCAAGATGATAATAACAACAACAAAAAAATAACTAAATAAAATATGGAATAAGTTCTGTGTAATAGTTTGTGTTTCATACATGAACAGATATAATGCAAGACATAGAGTATCACCAAGAAATTTATACCAAGGAAGTGGAGGGACTAACCAAGAAAAAGGCTCTTATGTCCATACAAAGGGCTCTGATACGGTGTCAAGAAATTGGTGATGAAAAGCTTGGCTTAATGACCGTCATAGCAGAGCATATTGAAAATAGGCAGCGACAGCTAGAACAGGATAGAGAAAACCTAGGTTTGGAGAATATATCAAAATAATTTCAATCTTGATAATAAATAAATATTAGTAAATGTAGTAAATAAGTTTAGAAGGGGAAAATGAATGTTAGATTTGGTAGACAAAATGTATCTAAGGTAACTTTTTTTTTCAAGATCCCACATCTTCACGAGAAGTAGAGAAAGAGGAACAGCCACTTACAATTGTCACTCAAACAAAAGCAGTAAAACAAGAGGACAAGATAGAGAAGATGCCAATGAAACGTCAGAGAAGGCAGAAAACAGCCAATGACTCTATAAGTAAAGAGGAAGAGAAGAAGGTAAGGAAAACACCTTAGAGCAGGATTATTGTCTCAGAAAAGAACTATACAGATTGTTCTAAAATCATGGCCCTTAAGCCAATGTTTAAGGAAAAGGTTAAGAAAGAAACTTAACATAAAATACACCCCAAGGAGCATAATTCTATTGTCTGGCTCCCTGTGAATTCATTATTCTTAAAAGAAAGTCATGACAGAAAATTTGGTGTTTTGCAGTGTTATTTTCTTTTTCATTTTATCAAATTGAAGCTAGGGGTGAAACGATACACCTCCTTCACGGTTCAATACGTATTGTATAATTTTGTCTCGGTACGGTTATTTTCGATACGATACATTTTGATAGAAGGAAACAAATTCAACCTTGTTTTATGCCTATGTTTACTAAATCTAGTCACTTAATTTACGAATTTTTATTTGCAAATTGACTAGAATTATTTGACTGTCAAAAATTATTTTACAAACTATCTTTCATCAAAAATTTACATTTTGTATACTTATTTATACTTAGTAACATGTTTTTAATTACCTTATGCCAAACCCGACTGAATAACGATCCCGACCGAAATATGAACCGAACCGAAAATTAGAGATTTTGTACCGTGTATCAAACCGAGAAAAAATACCGCGGTGAATCGATACCGCGGTGAACCGTTTCACTCCTAATTGAAGCAGAGTGAAACATATGTGCACACTGCACCATGAAATTAATTGCTATGAGCTAATTGGAACACTCTTCTGTATTCGTCTGTTTTTATTTATTAATTTATTTATTTGTTTGTTTGTTCCAAGATGTATTTTTTCCTTAGACTGTGATGGTGTATAAGAAAATAATGTTTTGTAGGATATTCAAGACAAAGGTCCAAAGAAGAAAAAGAAAAGAAAAGCCACAAAGAAGGAGCAGGCCCCAGCCAGTCCTATAGAACCCCCCATTGATCCTGATGAACCTACCTACTGCCTATGTGAACAAGTCTCCTATGGAGAAATGATTGGGTGTGACAATGATGCTTGTGTTATTGAATGGTTTCATTTTAATTGTGTTGCCCTTGTGAACAAGCCAAAAGGAAAGTGGTATTGCCCAAATTGTCGAGGAGAAAATAGTAAAATCATGAGAAAATTTGACAAATGATTAATCAGTAGTTTTGAATTTAATTTGATAAGAATACATCTGTTAATGAAATAGCAGATTTCTGATTTTTAAGTGACAATGAGAGAAATGTTTTATTATATATAAATCTGTTGTAATTTTAACTTTAGGAGAAAAATCATTTATAATATCAATGAATGTTCTGTTATATAAATGTAACTTTGTGCATTAGTATGTCATTACTGTGGATAATTGTGAGAAAAAATTGTTAAACAATAATTGTATTAAAACAATGAAAAGTAGAAATTAATGGGGGTGGGGAGGAATGTGAATTATTGATAAATTGCAAAATTGCAAAATAAATAGGAACTTGGTACATTATGAATACAGAGTGTATAGTGCTAAATTTAAGGTGTTCTGTATACTTCAAGTTGAGCTTGTAAAACTAAATTAGGCCACAGTAAATTATTTCTTTGTTTTCTGTTCCCAAGCAGGTAAGTTTTTCCTAAAAAATTCCTTTGAAAGAAATAAACAGAAGTTTGTCAAATTTTCAGTTATTTTTCTTCGTATTTTTCAAATTTCTTTTAAGACTACCTTTGAAAGAAATAAACAGAAACTTGTCAAATTTTCAGTTATTTTTTCCGATTTTCAAATTTTTTTTAGACTACCATATCTATTTGTCATATTGAAGGTATTTCACCTTCATCTTATTTTTGTGGACAGAGTAATTTGATTGAAATATATGTCAAATTTCTGAAATTAAAGAATAACAACATAGGCACAACTTTTTTCTCATTTATTCACTAATATTTTGCTTATTGTTGATTGTGTTTTTGAAATATGTTTGCTTTTTAGTTAGACTGGAAGGCACCTTTTAGAAAAGATAAGGGAAGTAAAACAGAGATATTTTTTACCATGGCCTCAGAGGTTTTCAAATTGAAGTATAGTATACATTGAATTTAAATGTAAAAGTAATATATGTTTTATTTTGACAAAGCACTGGAAATATATTTTTTATATTGGTTAAATAATGCATTCTTAAAAGAACAAAGATTTTGATCATGAAGAGCAATATATTTGTACTTTACATGACTTGCAATGAATGCAATTCTATATACAATGTATATTTAATTAAGTCTGTGTTCAATTAGAGTAGTTTTACATATTAAAGACTCCAAGGACTATTTGTTCTGATATTTGTAATTAACACAGTATCATTTTAAAAGATACAATAGGATCTTATCCTTAAACTTTCATGTGAAATCATTGGAGTCCCATTGGAAGCATTGAAATGTTACCAATACATTTTGTAAAGGCACAAGTAAGCAGTTCTGATAAATTTATCGAAAACATCTTCATGAACGATTTCACAATTCAATTTGATAACCACTTGATGTTTTAGAACGAAATGCATCCCTCCCTGAATTCACTTTTCCATCATTATATGACGGTATAGTAAACATTTAGTCTGGGTCATGACTCATCTGTAGGGCATCGACAACCACTTGAACAAGTTTGAGTTCCAATGATATGACACTATTTTGTTATTGTCCATAGACCTTGAAATTTAAGATGTGACGAAGTCAAAACCAAGATGTATCTTTTGATAATCGGTAATACACTTTTGTATGAAGGTTCAAGAGTAGAACCTAAACCCATTTCCTTAACGTCATTTGCATAGTGATCTTGACCTTTTAGATATAACCTTGAGTCAAGATCATGGCACACGTTTAGGACACTTATCAACACCAAGTTTGAGCCCAATACCAACGTATTACGGAGCATCCACATAAGAAAAAAAACCCTTGATTTTGAAAATTATATAAAGATCAAACAATTTTACTTATTATTGTTAACCTTGTTAAATGATATGAGAGTTTTACTTGGAAATACGAAAACACGACAAAAACTTTTTAGGTTGACGTTGTTGTTTTATGACGTCACAATACTGATGCACTCTGCAGCTGTGTGATCTTTTTGTTTTTCTTCAATCAAGAAATATGAGGCTTGATTTCACAGAAGTTTTCGGCGTGTGTAAAAGTATTGCAACAGGGGTTTTACTGTATCCACTGTTAGATTTTTTAGAATGGTAAGCGACGTGTTTGTTCGTTTCTTTGAAAATATTTTCATACACTATATAAATTGCTGTAAAAATACAAAATTTTATTTGCTGAATTGCAATTCGGAATTCTAATATTTTAGTCATCAGATTTTATTTATTGTAATTTAACTACTGCTTCTTAGTCAAGAGGATGATCCTTCTTTCTGGGACTCTATGGCGTACTTGTTTGGTTTGGAAGAACGAATCGACAAATGCAAGGATACAAGTGACATAGTGAAGGTAAACAGACCTCCACATTTGAAATGTTTAAAGAAAAAAAACCTAGTGAAATCTGGAAAGCCCTTAATTAAATTTAATATACATGTATACCATTACATATGTGGAAACGGAACATTGCATATATTCACCATATTGAACTATTTGACAACCTTGATTGGTGAATTCCTATCCACGCTTAGTCCTTTGATGGCATTTTTACTAAATACTCATAAACCTAATTATTGTTACGCTTGTAATATACATATAATTATTATTCTGATAGGCTTTGCTGATAATTATTGTAATAGAAATCGTATGGATGGTTCTGGTGTTGTTGGAACCCAGGAAGCCTTTAATCAAAAAGGTATGAAAATATTTTTTTTTAACTTTAATTAACCGATCAATTTATATTAAATATGTTTTTTGTATAGTTGTAAATGTTTTAAAAGATTTTCTGGGATTATCTTTCAGCCGGAAACAAGGGTTCGGGATATGGAAGAGGACAATGTGATCAATGCTATTGTAACAGATGCTGTTAGGAGTGCACAACAGAGTTTCTCATCATAAATAGCTAGATTTTGAAACATTTGATATAAAAAGAATAAACATAGGTATAAATAAAACAATGATTTTTATGGAGTATATAGGTTTTGAATTCAATTTTAAAAATTTCTTAATCATCCTATTCCCAAGGAATTTCCATTATGTTTAAAAATGAATATTACATCAAAGCATACAAAAGGGGAATTTCATAAGAATGCAAATCATTGTAAACACCTTGTATGATTTGTCAAATCGAATAAAAAAATAATAAATTAAAAATTTTGTCATGATTTCTCCTGAGGTATTTAGTCAAACTGATTCCGACGTGTGTTGTTTCACATCTTCGTTTTCCCTTTTACGTCATAGCTCTTGGTGTTACAGTTCGGCCACAATAAGTCCTATGAATCCATATAGTAAGTAGACTATGAGGCGCCGTTTTGGATTTATTGCCATTTATAGTGATATCACCTACTCGAATACGTGATATCGCCTATTCGAATACGTGATATCACCTATTCCATCACTTAATGGCAGCAAATACCAAAACGGCGCCTCATAGTACACTGTATTAGGAAAATAATTAGACGATAAAAATAGAAATAATGGATTACAGATTTCTTTCTTTTATCTCCGTTTTCATGATGATAAAAACTGTTACGATTCTCTGTACAGGAGATCACTGACCCCTTTATTTTTCATTTCTCAAAATTTGCTTCTTGTATACACTGTAAATAAGATTTTTAAACTAGATGCGTAATATCAGTACATGTATTTGCTAAACCGAGTGATAACGTTTTTGTTGCCTTCTTTCATTTCATTTACCCCCCCCCCCCCCCCCCCGGGTGTTATTTTGTAAGCTGAGGGCAAATATGCTCAAGTTGAAAGGAACTCTTAGCCGCATTTCAAAAAAAAAGCCATAGTGATACATTTTTGACATTATTCAGAAATTATGTTCAAATATCGCTTATCGAGTAGAGGAATCTCATCTGGGTAAGAAATGATGGCTGGGTAAAGTTAATATTACATGTATTCGAATTTTAATGACTTGTAGACACCAGTGTTTATTATTAGAATTTTTGAATGTGAATAGACTCATTTGCTTCTCCCTTAAATATCATTCTTGATCTGTATAAAATAGGGATGTCAATTTTGTCAATAATTAATATTCGAATATTCAATGGAAGTATTCGAATATATTCGAATACCGGTATTCGATAAAATAAATCTGGTTTATTTTAAATATGCATCATCCTATACTTTCAGAAAAGGTTTAGCGTAGGTATTCCTTATATTGGAAGTAAAATTGTATGAAGACTTTTGTAGGTGTACAATAAGGAATTCCATTTGATATTTGTCAATGTTTGAAATAAATAATTGATTTAAATTTATAAAAATATAATTTTAACAAATGAAACGTGTGTATTTATAGTAGCTCCAACTAAGGAACTAGTCGTCTTACCAAAGGCAAGATAGTCGTATACTGTTCAGATTTCAATACGTGTAATTAATTATAATTATCAACCTAATAAGAGATATGATTATAATTTTTGACACAAAGTTTTTAAAATAGAATAGAACAAACACAAACCCAATTTTCCTAGGTAATTAACTAATTCCCCGATAATGAATATAAAATTCCGAGATAATCATTTATTCTGAAATTGAGTCCTTTACAATATTAATAACAGACTAATTCTATCGGACATTCATTTGAATGATCAATTAAATTTGTTTTGATAAGTTTATTCCTCACGTCTTTTAGACATTCGAAGAAAGTTTTCATTTTGTTGTCCTCGATTCTAGATCCGATCGTATTTAACTAATGAAAACTACTAAAGTACGTTTTGTATTATACATAAAACATTATTGTATAATTCTTTAACACCTTACTCAGAACAAAATAATTCAGTAGATCTATAAGATAAGAAAGTAATGAAAGAAATCAGGCGATCGAAATTGATCGTTAGTGAATTAAACATGGCTAATTCCAGCACTGTTCTAATCAAAATTTATTAATCACAGTACACCTTTTTATGAAATCTGAAAAACACCGAATATTCGAATCTTAAATTCATATTCGAATATCATCTCATCGAAGGAATATTCGAATGTTCGAATATTCGTTGACATCCCTAGTATAAAAGCATTCAAATATTTCCCAGCTTTATTTACTTTTAACAGTCGCCAGAGAATGACAACACCTAGGACTACTTTAATCTAAATTACATGTACAATCAGCACTTAATGACTTTCAGAATACTATTAGTAATTGTATCATTTTAAATCGTCACCTTGCATCCTTTAAAACTTGACATATATCTGTCTTGATGAACCATATTTATAGCTGCCATGAGTCAGAGTTTTGCCGAGCAGTTGAGATTTGCCCATTGTCTATTACTAGTAATTGCTGACCTTTATTTTATCATCTTTTCTCCTTAATCACATGGCCAGTTTCAACCGAATTCGACACATTTAACATTACTGAGCGAAGAGCATCTTTTTCAAAGAAATGACCATGTTCTCTTTTATGTACATGTAGTTGTATTTCAGAATTATTGAGAAAAGGGTCTGTGAAAAATATTGACTTGACTATTTGGACCATAAAAGACAAAGCGCTAATTGAATTTTTATTAATATTATATTATTTAGATTCTTATTTGTTCGAATTTCGACTATCGGTGCTGAGATGGAACAAGTTAGCTTGTTAAAACTTAAAAATGTTTTCCTTTCTTTTAATCAACATTTTTAAGCAAAACAATTAAAGCTGTGATTCGTCAAATTGATACAAAAGCATCTGATGAAGTGTAGATTTTGACTGCTCATCCTAAGGCTCCGGACAACTCTAGAGGTTTTAATTTAGTTAGGGATAATCCCCCTCTCCATTATGATTTTGGCAAGGATGGAACGCTAAATTAACCCTCACCCCCCAAAAACTTAAGTAATGGAAGATATTTTCAACAATTATTTAAGATAGTCTGTTAGTGCACGCAATATATATAGTCGAATTGAATCAAGTCAATTGCTCTCGTCAATTTTCTGTTTGTTCTAAATATCTCAAGAACTATAACTGTACACACACACACACGCACAGAGAGAGAGAGAGAGAGAGAGAGAGAGAGAGAGAGAGTAATATTAATACATGTAGCTACGAAAACCTGTAAGGATCAAACTACGGTAAAAAAAATTTTAAAAGGCGTTATAACGCCTTTTCAAAAGGCATTATAACGCGAAAAAAGGCGTAATAACGCCTTTTGAAAAGGCGTTATAACGTGGAAAAAGGCGTAATAACGCAAATAAAGGCGTAATTACGCCTTTCCAAAAGGCGTTATAACGCGAAAAAGGCGTTATTACGCCTTTCCAAAAGGCGTTATTACGCCTTTCTAAAAGGCGTTATTACGCCTTTTTAAAAGGCGTTATAACGCCTTTCTAAAAGGCGTTATTACGCCTTTTCAAAAGGCGTTATAACGCCTTTCCGAAAGGCGTTATTACGCCTTTCCAAAAGGCGTTATTACGCCTTTCCAAAAGGCGTTATTACGCCTTTCTAAAAGGCGTTATTACACCTTTTAAAAGGCATTAATACGCCTTTCAAAAAGGCGTTATTATGCCGTTTGAAGGGCCATTATTATGTCTTTGACAGGCCTGTGCTTTTAAAGGGGGGGGGGTCCCATAAAATTGACAAGCAAACAAAAAAACAAGACCCCCCCCCCCCGAAAAAAAATAAACTGCCTAAACTTGAGGGGAAACCTTTTTCTAATTTTTCGGTAAAACTTTTTTTAAATGCAATGACTTGCCCGAGTTTAACCATACTGCAACAAAATGTTAAGGGACCAAGCAATCAATTAATGATTTTTTATATTTAAACTATAGCAAGACTATTCTCCCAAAAAGTGGGTAGGGAGACCCCCCCCCCCTCACATTCGTACTACCGGCCTGTTTGAAAAGGAGTTGTATCCAAAAATGGAAAGGCGTTATTTTAAAATAGTAAATATATGAAAGATTGAACCAAAGCCATCTTTATTTATGCAATATTTAGATTATAGTTTTAATATTATAAATTATATGATAAATTATAGTATTTTCTATATTCCTGCACATCTCGCAGACAGTTGTTTGCATTTTGCATGCATATTAAGAGAAGTCAACACTCCAGGATATAGGCAGAACCAGCTTTGGGCTTTGCTAGCCACGTATTAAAAATTCATGTCAAATTTGAAATATTTTCTCTCCTCTTGGTAAAAAACAGGCAAAGTATTTGCATAGGTATAATGAGCAATTAGCCTTCAACAAAATTTCTGAAATCCATACACCTTGGTAGAAGCGTCTGGCATCAGAGAAGGACTAAGTTGGTTTAACACTGAAAATATTTTACACATTTAAAAATCTTTTTTCCTTGAAATCTAATTATAATCAGCCCCCAGGGTGGACTAAGTAAGTCATGTATTGAAAAAAAGAGGAGTAATAACACCTTTTAGAAAGGCGTTATAACGCCTTTTAGAAAGGCGTAATAACGCCTTTTTTCGCGTTATAACGCCTTTTGGAAAGGCGTAATTACGCCTTTATTTGCGTTATAACGCCTTTTCAAAAGGCGTTATTATGCCTTTAGAAAGGCGTTATAACGTCTTTTGAAAAGGCGTTATAACGCCTTTTAAATTTTTTTACCGTAGTTTGATCCTAATATACGGAAGCCCATTTAGGACCTATCAAAAAATATTTTTGAATACGATATAACGAATTGTCAAATTTGTTATAATGAATTCAATTCGTTATAACAGTTTCTTTGAATTCGTTATAACGAATTCAATTCGTTATAACAGTTTCTTTGAATTCGTTATAACGAATTTAATCTGTTTTAACAAATTTGTTGAATTCGTTATAACGAATTGAAAAATTTGTTATAACGAATTAAATTCGTTATAACGAATTCTAAAACTTGTTATAACGAATTAAATTCGTTAAAATGAATTCTTTAATTTGTTATAACGAATTAAATTTGTTAGAACGAATTCGACAAATCGTTATGTCAAATTCATATATATTTTTCTACAGGCCCTGATTGTTGAATTTGATTAAACGAATTTAATTCGTTGTAACAAATTTTAGAATTCGTTTAAACGAATTTAATTTGTTATAACAAATTTAAGAATTTGTTTAAACGAATTTAATTCGTTATAATCAATTTTTGAATTCGTTATAATGAATTCAACAAATTTGTTATAACAAATTAAATT